TAAACTATAATGATCTTAATATATAATGTGAAATAAAATAATGTAATGTTGACCTAATGACCAATACATAAGCCTACAAGAGCTTCAATTGATCAAAAACCTCCATTTCGAATTTTCTTTCCTGCTGAATCCTGCTAATAAACTGGTAAACTGGTAATTGTGAATTTTTTAATTGATCCCATAAATTGATCACCACAACGTGCCGCACAGAGGGGTGCCACATTTCCTCCATGATGTATTGGAGCGTTGTCCATGACTAGGACGCTGTTGCGTTGAGGCCACGGGTTCATCGCCGGTAACTGCAAGTCACAGTGTTAGTCTCGTAATCAACTTGAGAAATTATAGGTAGGGAAACCAATTTACCAAATGGTTTTCCAAAAAGTCCTCAAAATCGAGCCTCGAGTAACCGCCCTTTCTGGTCTGAACGGCGAGAATCCCATCAAGCGATATCGCCGGCAAAACGGACCAGCGAGTCGCTCGAGTAGGTCTTTGGAGTCTGACTGTACGTTCCCCAACGGGCGCTCGGGCAAACTCGCGATAAAGCCTTCTTTTGCTCAGAGCAGTCTCGTCTAGAATGATGTGAGACAGCGCAGTTATCAGTAAGTAACAAGACAGTTAAAACAGATGCCAATGGGAAATGCGTACCTGTGAAAACCAAGCACCGGGGGTCGATGTTGTGGACGGCCGCAATGTAGGCACCTCGAGCCTCCGCAGATTGATTCGGATTCACAGTGTGAGCCTTCTTTCGAGTCCAGAGAAGGCGGTCTCGGAGCTCGTTTGAAAGTGTTTGAATAGAGACTTGGACCCCATGAGCATTTTGGATTCGTTCTTGAAGCTCGTCAAGGTACAAGGTCGGATCGTGACAAAGAGATTCAAGGATGAATTCGCGTTGAGCCGCACCTAACGAGGTTGGTTGACCACGCCGCATGTGGTCAAGGGGATTGGTGATAACAGCACGGGTGGTTCGATAGAGCTCGAACCATCGTCGAACAGAGGTGAGGGAGACATCAACCCCAAGGGATCGAACAATCTCTTGGAAGCGCAAACCACGCAACACCATGCGCACGACAACTACCTTGATATCGGCACTGTAGAGATTGACGGGCATCCCTAAAAGCAAAAGTGGTGGGTGAGTAAGGTGTTGAGCCAGTAGTAGGGTAGATAGAAAACGAACTGACTGAATTGTCAAGGATTAATACGATGTGGATAGTAGGATTGGATGGATACAATGTGGATGATGGATGATTGGGGGAAAAATTCGAAGGAATTAGAAAAAAAAATCAGAGAGAAATGGGGGCAAATGATTGGAAAATGAGGAAAACATCCGGATGAGAAAAGAATATGTCAAAAGAACATGTGGCAACCTCGGAAAGGGATACTATGGATATCCAAAGAGAACTGTCAATGAATCTTGACGTTCTCTCACAAATGACGTCAAATCTAGATTTGCAAAATCTAGTTTTATCTTGAGTTTTGTCCGTTTGGGTTTTTGCCAAACTTACAGGGTTTTGCCCAAAATCTGCCGATAATTCTTGGAACGGCTGTAAGCCATTCTCAAACTTTCATTGTTGTCCAAATTGTGTCTTTTGAATCTTTACATACAAATGTGTCATTTGTGTGAAATTGTGTCCTGCTCTAGATGTTTGAAAATCAAAGTTAAGCTTGTTGATCATCAATAAAATCCTGAAAATGGCTCAAGTTGTCAGGGAAGAAGCAGGACTTCAATTTTGTCAGGAAGAATCTGAAAAAGTCTTCTGTGGTGAAAGTCTTTTATGTGCCAGTTTTCCCCTACTAAAACGTACAAAGCCTTGTGATTGGTAACTTAGTATTATTAACAAAGGGGAACAGGGATAAATTTGGACTTATTTGTTTGACAGTACTGACCTTGTTGGATACTTTACAGTTCTATCTAGTTGACTTCAATGAGCTCATAGCTGTTGGCCACCAGCTCTTTACCACCAAGTCAAATTTTATCCCATTGAGTTCACCTTCATCCAGATATTTCATTTCAGCTAGTTAGAGCATCTCCAACGCAGGGTGCGAACGTAACAAATCGGACGCACATGTAAGCTGTATGTTACGTCTACCAACCTTGGTCACAAAACGGCCATCCAGCGGGGTCTGAATAGTTGACAGCTTACCATGTGTGTGAGTTTGAATTTCCAGCAAAATGCCTTTCACACAGTTGGTACTCCAAATATGGAGTACCAACTGAACTTTTACAGCAAGCTACATTGGCCCAGTATTGGACAGGCATTTAGCACATGTGGTGATAAAGTCACCACATGTGTCCTATCCTCTTGTTGTCCAGCCAATTGATGGCTATTTGGTGGCTCAATTGGGTGAGGGTTTGGCAACTTGGGCAGCTCAAAGCAACTCAAAAACTTATACCTCATGTGCGCGCTGGATGCAACAAAGCTGAAAATGAAATACAGCTGTCATAATTTTTCCAGCAATTTTTTTTGGGTCTGTATTTGGTTTACAGAACAGGTCCGCATTGGAGATGCTCTTATCACTTTATCTTATCACTTTTTTGTGTCCCAACCACCCTCCTTGCTAAATGTAGTGATTTCATTTTATGTAATATCTTTTCTTTGAAAAAAAAGTTGAATGAAAAATGGTATTATTTTTGTGGTTGTTTTGGTTGATTTATATTTTGTTATCATTTTGTTGATAGAATCTTTGATTTTTCAGATTTGCCTTATGTTATAAATTTATTTTATACTGTGCTGAACATTTTTTATCTTTGCTTTTATTTTAGTCATTTGTTTCTGTTTCTGCCCCATAGGGTGTTGTTATTATTGTGGTAAAGATATCACCCCTTGGCATTCACCCTGGGGGATTTTGCCCAAACATGTACTTCCTAATTTTGAAGCTTTCAGTTAGGGCATGTTCACTTAAGCAATTCCTGGTCAGAAATTGCATTCTGAAGTATTTAGGGTGCGTTCACTTAAGGAATTTCTGACCAGAAATCACATTATGTAAAATTTTTAATGCAAAAATGAAACATACACCACCAAATAGACACTTTAAATTTTGCAGAATGTGATTTCTCACCAGAAATTGCTTAAGTGAACACGCCCTTAAAGTGCTGGTTTGGTGGAGTGTGGTTCGTTTTAAAATTTACAGAATGCAATTGCTGTCCAGAAATTGCTTAAGTGAACACACCCTTAGTTCATTAGTAAGTTTTTCCTTTTTCATGTTTCCACATTCACAGTAAGCCCCTAGAGAAGCTTTGAGTTTACCATCCAAGAGAAAATCTGCTCCACACCGTCTTGCTTTGTATGTAGCCCTCTTAACTAAACAAAACCTTAAGCTCTAGCAAAGTTTTGAGCATGGGACACATGGCTGTATAATCACATATTCCTGGTGAGAGGCCTTTGAGTGTTAGGTCCTGTTAAGTGTTTTTCACATGTAGCAAATGAAGTGTATTGGAAGTGTTTACAACAGAGAGCAAATTGTGGCCTTTTGAGATTGTACAAGTTTAAGCCTTGAATGACTGCTCATACTGGACTTTCTGACAAGGCGGTTCCTTTCAAATCACATACAGAGTATTCCAAGTCTGGAATAACAGCTATGAAACTTGTGTTGAGACCAGAATCATGAAGAAGTCTTTCCAGCTTGATGAGTGGGGAAGTACATTTAGAAACAAAGGTCAAACAACTTTTCCTGCAGGATAAAGTGGTATTTATCACAGTACAAAGTAAGTCCATATGTGCATGCACATAATTTTCAAAACATAAACATTTAGATTTTTCCCCTCCATAAAAAAAAGAATGTTTCACAAGTTTTGAAAACTATGCACATGTGCATACTTACTTTGAGTACTGTCTTTGGAAAGTGGGAAATTTCTAAAAATCACTCAACATCACCTAACACTTGGAGGCCACACACCAGGAATTGACAATTGGCTGTATAGGTCATCACATCAAGATTGTATAAGCAGTACCAGATGTGTTTTCCCTTTGGGTAGAGTCTGGCCAAATTTCAGAGGAGAAAAAACATATGACTCATGCCTGTCATAAGGCTAGAATGATCCATCAATCACCTGCCTGATTGCTTTACCATCTCCTATTGATCTAAAGAAATGTGTTCTCATTATAGAGTACACCCATATTCCACCTCAACATCTTTTAGTCTGATGCCAGGACCCTCTTGCTTTGCCTTGATCAATGCTGAGTAGTTGACCAAGTTACCACTTGGGATTGATAACAATGCTCATGCATGAAGTTGATGCCTCACAATGAAAGGCTCTATCAAGTTAGATCATCTTGATAATTCAATTGCTGATGGGATTTGACTTGTGAGTGCATTCCCCAATCTTCTAGCTCCAAATGACAGCTTCCAAAAGCTGATTGGCTGTTCACAGCGGGACATGGTCAAAACGACCCCCTTATTTCGACGATGGATACAGGCAATTTCCAACATTCTTTCTACATGACATGGCTAGTGAAGCTCATGTTTTGAACGCTCTCAATTTCCATTTCATTCACACATGTCAATGAAAAATTGATGCATGGCAAGAGCGAGAGGGCGCAGTATTGGCTGGTTCTGTCCGCTCGACTTGGGGAAGAATGAGGAGAAATAAGAAAAATCGGAAAATTTAATTCAAAACCAACCCAATAGCTCGCCTCAACATTCATTGGACAGACAAAATAGAGGCACGGCGTTCTTGAGCTATTGAACGACACGAAAATAGCTTGGTACAAGAGCGAGTACTGTATCTAGTGAGATGAAATTCAGAACCCAAATTGAAAAGAAAAGCAAGCACAGTAAAATAGATATGATTGTCCACGTTTAAATAGGAATGAGATAGAGTGTGCAGGTCGAGTGATCATGGCACTAAGACAGTTACAATTTCACTATAGTCTAAGCGGATAAATAGTAATGTCGATGGAATGACAGGTGTGGCGTGGATTGGGCATTCCACATGCAGTAATGAGCATGAATATTACATGCGATGGAGTTATGCTTTAAGCTGCAAAAATTACTCTCGTGGCTTAAGATGAATAGGTCTGAACGACCTCGAGGATGGCTTCGAACCCGAAACCAAATGATTGAACGGACTTCAAGGCGTGAGCTCCGATCTGAGATAAGATGGTTACTGAACCCTGAACGTTCACGTTGACTGCAACAATGATCTCGCTGACTGAGCTTGTCAGGCGATGAAGAACATCTGGTATTTTTATGCAAGTTAGTATGATGAAAGTGGAAGGCTGTGTGATGGTTACTCACCTCCGCACTGATTACGCACAGACTCCTCGTCAATGAATTCTAGCATCTCCAAAATGGTAATCTTGACGAGGATGATGAGTTGCAACACGATCTCAATGACGTCGTTCTAAAGAGATTGACACAATGTTGTCAGATTCGGAAATTAGACTACCGGAAGGAATATAAACAAACAATTGTTCGCGGCGTGGTGGTCGGCGTCTGCGAAGGAGTTGGGGTGTGAGAGCATTCTTTGGTTTGAGTGACGGTTTCGTGGAAGATCACAAGCATTGCCTCGAGTTCGACCATAATACTGGTGAGGATGATTTGACGGCTCTCGGTCTTTCGGCAGTGGTGCTTGATTTTGTCAACATGTTTGGCGACGTTGTGACGGCATTGAGATAGGATAGCATGCATTTTGAGGGTGAGGCCGATGGTTTTCTTTGATTGCGGGTTAGAAGCAGGCATAACAGTCCGGGTAGCAGGCGAATGACTGTCAGGGACCGCACGAGCTTGGAGGCTCCTACAGACGATGAAGCGAAATGTCAATTTGGAGTTGAAGACACGAAAGAAATTCTTGACGTACGCATAAGGGTCAGCCATACGGGTAGGTTTGAGCGACCGTGCAAAGGAGTGCGTCTTAGCAGACACTGGAGTGAATAGAGGCAGATTTAGTTACGGGAGACTGCTACGGACGCAAAACGCAGTAGTTCACTTACCGCCGGCTAGACAGAGGGCAGTCGTGAAAAGTGTAGAGAAGAGCATGTTGACAAAAGTTGGATATATTAAGTTGTTAGATTAACGAGACAACGGTCGGAGATTGTGTTTTTGTAGAGTGTTTAAATATGTGATAATTATGGAGGGAAGAAGACAAATAATAGGCGACAAGAAAACACAAATTAAAGGAGGGACTGAGAGCACTGGTGCGACGAGGTGAAGATACTTGTTATTAATGGCGAGCGGCGAGCGGGAAAGTGGAATGACTGACTGGCCCGTGGTGTATCAGGGTGCTCACTTTAGTACTAATCCGCCACGCGTCCTATCTGAGAGTGTTGTGCAGAATTTGGAAGGCCATGTTCTTTCTAGGTAAAGCCTCAAAATCCGCATCTCTATTGGATTTCAACGATGAGGCAAATTGAATTTCAAGTAAGAATTCAAGCCCGTTCATCCTTCCACAGAAATTCTTACGTCTTGATCACTTCAGCCGTATCATCTACGAATGCTAATTGTGATGCAATACGTGCTCCCGTTCATCTAACGTAAAGGTGGGCGCCACGAATGCAATCTGTATGAGACCGGGTGCAGTGGTCAACGACGTCGGCCTCGGGGATTGATATACGTTTGTTTATTAAAGAACATACCTGGTCTGATCGCTGGCGCCAGCTACCGCAAAAATCGCAAAAATCTTGGAAGCCGGTAGAACCTCAGGCACATGGGCGAATTTCCACCGAATACATACGATCCTTTGAATTTGTGGCGTTTGCATGTCTCCACCTCACCCATCCAAACCTCGAGCCTGAAATCCGAAATCGGCAGCCCTCAACCCCCACCTCAAAGCCTGTTGGAGATACAGGCATCTCATTTGTAGTTGTACCGATGAATCGATCTCTGAGTTGATAATTGCACCATGCATGTATTGGACGAGGTCCCCAAAATTATATATACAAACTCACCAGATCAGGTCGTGTAGTATTCACCTTGAATTCTTGAAAAAGTGAAGGCTCCCCCATCTACCTATCCTAATACCAGCGTGTAATCTGTGGTCACTCCGAAGCTTGGCTTCTCTGAACAAGTTGCGTTTTCTTCTTACATACATTTGACGATGATTTTCTGAGTGTTGATGCAGTTCGATCAAGGTGAAGCGAAGCGTTGCCGAAAACCAAACACCAAAATAGATGACGGGCTTTTTGTATGCCAAGCTTGAGACTTGAGACTTGAGGTCTAATCAATAAATGCCTCCCATCCGCTCATGTAAATATGACAAAACAACATGATAGATTTGATTCAATGTCATTTTCCAGATTTCAGGGTTCTTCATGTATGATGTGGGACAAGATGCATGTCCCGATCTTCGATGAGATCGGCAGTGATTTTGCCTTCGTTATCGTCTTGCTCATTGACATTTGCCCTCCAAATAGGTGCGCGTGAGTTTGATTTGACCACACATGTCTTTGCACCCCGCGATGCAACTGAGGCAGTATTTTGTGTGTGGAGTCAAATGAGGAAAAAATTGATATATCATGGTACCCCAAATAGCACTTAGGACACTTTTGAAGTCAATTCCGACATCCAATGCCGCGAAGAAAGTAGAGAGGTTTATGACGCAAGAAACTTGGTAGTCAAACACACAAATTTGCACGCTCTCGAATTTCGGGCCTGCTTGACTGCTAGCAAAGACTCTGTGATGTTGGACCTTGAGTGGTACGCAAAACATACGACACCAGACCGATCCATGAATATGAATGATGCCCTATGATGTCTGCTCTGGAGTCTGGACACTTCAAGACTTCTAACAACCAACAGTCGATAGTAAATGAGGTATGGATCCTCGAGGGTTCGCCCTGTTTCGCTGGAATTGAAACCCAACAAGTTCGCACCCGGCTGTGTTCCGGGACTCTCGAGGTGAAAAACTTCGACGATGAGGCTCGGAGTCGAACCCTCTGGCAGAGCAGCCGGATCACGGTGGGCAAACGGGCAACGACGCGTTATACATCGGACCGGGTTCCAACTAGATTTTCCCAACTGGTGTAATCCCATACCTAATCCCATACACGAGTTTAAAATTTTCTGCAAAGAAGCAACTTGCAAAAAAAAGACTACGACGATGACAGCAATGAATTAAACGAGGTCATGAACATTCACTTAGATCTCCAAACCACTCATACCAACTAAAATGGCACCTAAACAAACAGCTCATCACCATCGATCTACCCTGTCTCAGTCCAACAAGTCATTCAAAGCTCGACATGCAACCAAGGGAGCACTAAAACAACTATCCAAAGGTTTGTGTTATTCGTTTACACTTATTCATTCATTCCCATGTGATATAGTGACACATTACTGATGACGTATTTCTTTAAAACTTGCAGGTCGAGTTGAAAAAGAATTGAAACAATCTCTTAAAGCACATGTTCAATCCAGTGCTGGCCAAAAGGCTGCTCGTAAAAACCATGCCAAGCAACTACAAGCTGAGAAACGTCGAGCTCAAGCAGATTCAATCAAAGTCTTCTCTGGCTCACAACCTGCGCCTCGTATCGTTCTCGTGATTGCGCTCTCAGCCGATATCGATCCATACAATGACGTCCTCGTCCGCTTCAAACTCGCTGCTGGTCTTCCCCTCGATTGTGACGAACCAACCGCTAGCTCGTACACCTTTTCGTGGCCTACTACGAACTCATTCCAAAAGCCCAACTCAAATGGAAGCCTGCTTCAATTCATCCTGGTCCCTCACTTGACTCCGATCGCCCACGTCATTTCCCTTGCTGCTGCCGCCGATTTCTTACTCCCTGTACTATCAGCTCAAGAAGAATGCACTCCTTGGGGTGAACGTTGTTTAAGATCAATTCAGGCTATCGGTGGACCTTCGCTTGGTACTCTTGGACTCGCCTTTGGTCTCGATACACTAAATGGACCAGATCTCCCAGTGAAACGTCAACAATCCGCGCAAACAAGAGCAAGCTTATTGAGCTTCTTGCGATACTTCTTCCCCGATACACTTCTCTTGGCTCGTGTTAGCTCTCTTGATTCATTAGAAGAAGTGGGCGGATTGGCACGGAGGATGCTAGAGAAAAAGCCCGCTGCAGTCTCACCTGGTTGGCGTGATGGACGAGCCCGGCTGATAGGCGAATGTATCGAGTGGGTCGATGGAACGCTCAAAATTACAGGCCATGTTCGCGGTGGAAGGTTCAGTTCAAACAGACTTGTCCATGTACCATTTTGTGGCGACTATCGACTGTCAAAAATCACCGTCACGAGAAATGAGAATGAAGAGGGAGAGGAAGAGGTAGTAGTCTGCAGTCCTGATCCTGAGATGGCAGATGATCTGGTCTCCGAGAACTGCCCCTCTACCGCCGATGCGATGATGGCCGAGCAAACCTGGCCAACGGAGGAAGAGATTGCTTCAGCCCCTGCAAATAAAGCTGCTTCAAAACCTAAGAGAACCCGAAAAATACCGATCGGTACAAGTGACTACCAAGCTGCATGGATTCCCGAGGGTCAAGAAGATGAATATGAAGACGAAGATGAGGCTGAGTTCGAGGACCCCCTTGGTGGTGACAGTAAACATGAAGTGACCCGGGAGGAAGAGGAAGAAGAGATGGCAGATATGGATGATGATATGTCAGAACATGGACAATCATCGAAAGAAGTCAGGTTCATGGACTTATCGGATGATATAGAGAAACTCCAGCTAGAGGAATACCGAGCGAATCGGGAACAACAACGAACAAGCGGTGCTCGTGAGGATGAAGAATTTCCTGATGAAATCGACACTCCTCTTCATATACCTGCCCGAGAACGTTTTGCTCGTTATAGGGGCATGAAGAGCCTACGGACTAGTCCATGGGATCCTTACGAAAATCTACCTGCGGAGTATGGGAAAGTCTTCGGCTTTCAAGACTGGAAGGTGATGAGTAAGAAGCTGTGTAAAAAAGCTAACGAGGACCAACCCGGAGCGGTGAGTGATCTGCTTCATTCATTCATCATGCCTCAGCATTTGTGACTGACTCATTCTTACAGGGTGCTGGAATGCGCGTGACACTACATGTGGCCGAGTTCCCACAAGATGTATTTGAAAGCCTACCTCGATCCCTTCCACTCGTTGCAGTCTCCCTCCTCCAACACGAACACAAGTATTCAGTGATGCACTTCTCTACCCAGCGCAATACGGAATACGAAGGCGAAATCAAGTCAAAGGATCAATTGGTGATCTGTGTAGGTTATAGATTCTACAGTGTCAATCCCATCTGGTCTCAGCCTTCGGTGCGAGCAAGCAATAATGTTCATAAGTTTGAGCGGTACTTGAGACATGGTCGAATGAATGTCGGGACTGTGTACATGCCCGTTACGTTTGGATCCACAACGCCTGTGGTTGTCCTTCAGGAGGTCAATGATGACGAGGGTACGTTGGAATTAGTTGGATCCGGCACATTGGTAGGCAGTGAACCGAAGCGGATCGTCGTCAAGCGATTTGTCTTGACCGGTCATCCATACAAAGTACACAAGAAAACAGCTACAATCCGCTACATGGTGAGTATTGTATTCTCATGAGATTCATTTTCGCATATCTGCTCACTGTGCTGACATTGATATTGATCATGCTAAGTTTTTCAATCGAGATGATATTGAATACTTCAAACCGGTCGAACTACGAACCAAGAAAGGTAGAAGTGGTCATATCAAAGAGCCACTTGGTACACATGGTTACTTCAAGGCAGGATTTGATGGTCCAATCGATCAGATGGACACAATTTGTATGTCTCTCTATAAGAGATGTTTCCCAAAATGGGCTCAAGGTTGGAATGGCTCACTTAAGTCAATATGTTGGCAAGAAAAGGAAGATGGAAAGGGGATGGAAGTTGATGAAGATTAGTGAGATATATCCTGCATTTTTTTTAATTTCTTACTTGAGTTTAAGTGCGTGTTTTGGAAATCGTCATATCCATATAATTGATTTTTTATAAGTGATTGAATAAGAAATATCCAAAAGTATATAATGCTCGGAGCACTGCTTGCACTCATTCGACTCCGAGTCCTTCGAATTCTGATTCAGGTTCAGCGCAGAATTATACTAGACAGTGTCCTAAAAGACCCTGAAAGAGAGTCACATAATGTTCTGTGGGTCTGCCTTTTGATTTGGACATTGACATATGCAGAATATGGCAAAGCAGTCGCATACGTTAAACCAAGAATTTGACAGTGGCTATTTGATCATAGTGATCGCGAATATTCTGTAGTGAGACTGACTCCAGAGCCCAAGCCCAAATTGTCTTTGATCCTGGTATCCACTCATAACTCCCTGTGTCTCTCAGGTGGACATTCATAATGTGATTTAAATTAGTTTCAACTTATTTCTATCTAAGTTATTTGTATACTGGGTACCAGTGAAGTATATTCTTCCATCGCTGGTTGTCCCATTCAAACCTAAAGTTTCGAATGAGTAACCTTAGGTCTCTTGGGGGGGGGGCCTGCCTGGAAGAGGCTGGGGGAGGTAGGACACCGGTGACAGTCAATGGGAGATCGCCGAACGGTGGGCTAGGCAACCTCCCAACACAACACAAACACAGCAGTATACACAGACACAACAGTTTACTACAATAGCATACAAAGATCAGAAAACACCCAATACTTACGCGTTGGGCCTTGTCAATTAGCCCTATTCCAGATCATCCATTGGAAACGCAGTCCCTCCATCTGATCTCAATTCAATGCTATACACCGTTAACTGTTACGCCCTTCGAGTAGTACACGGATGAAAGTCCCTATAACCCTGTCAAACCAAGGGGGGTGGGCGGGTTCGAAAAAAGAGAGAGAGATGATAGTAAAAGCTTGTAAAGCTATACTATGGGAGAGAGAGACCTTGACAGTGAGGTAGTGAGAGATTTCCAGATGTGAGCGTGGGAGTTCGTGGAAATGGGGGTTTGGCACGTGAAGAGATTTTCAAGGTGGGAGGAATACCTTCCAACCTTGCACATGAATCTCTTGCGCCGAGAAACAAAAATATCCTTGATATAAGGCTATTTTCTAAACCCAACCATTACCCGACTGCCGCTCACATCGTGGAAATTGACGGTACCGTCGTGCCTTTGGTTACCGTCCGTCATCCACTCATAACTCCCTGTGTCTCTCAGGTGGACATTCATAATGTGATTTAAATTAGTTTCAACTTATTTCTATCTAAGTTATTTGTATACTGGGTACCAGTGAAGTATATTCTTCCATTGCCGGTTGTCCCATTCAAACCTAAAGTTTCGAATGAGAAACCTTAGGTCTCTTGGGGGGGGCCCCCTGCCTGGAAGAGGCTGGGGGAGGTAGGACACCGGTGACAGTCGATGGGAGATCGCCTCCCCTTGACTCAGGTTGCAGACCTGAGCCTGCGATCGCCCATTTACTGTAACCTGGGTCAAGTTACCCTTTGCCCCTCCCCTTACGAGGGAGTAGTGCAGAGCCAATAGTTATCTAATAGAACCAGTTCGCAAATAGATATTTCCGGAAGAATTTTGAATTTAAGCCTAATAGTTTAATCTCCGTTAATTACTGATCCTGACATGTTCTAAAAGTCTAATTGTATCTAAGAGATCTTCCTCTGAGCATTCACGTATATACAGCTTGTATGCTTTTGACCTCCAACGTCCTACTTTGACAATCTCTTCCAAAGGATTATTAAGATTCCACCTCAATGAGGCACCACCAACTCGAAACGAATGACCCGTAAGTTTACACTCGTTTTGCGCATTCCACGTGTCCGAGAATATCCTAAGACATCTAGGCTTTGTCAACACAACTCTTTTATTTCCTTTAGGGTACGAGAACACCGGGTCATCGTCTGTCGCACCTGTATCCTTTATCAATCTTCTGATAGCGCCTATGGGATTGAGTAAGGACAATTGGTACTGTAAGTGAATCTCTTGAATTTCCCCTACAGATGCTGTTTTTGCCTCCCTAATCTTTATCCGCACAAATTCCCCTTCTGGGTCCCAGATTAGGTCCTTCACTCTGACTTGATCTCCTTTACACGAAGCTTTTAGTAATTCCCCTAATCGTGCCATCCCCCAGAAGGCTACGAGTGCTACTGTGTACGCCACCTGATTCTCCAAGTCTTTACCAGCTAAATCTTCTACTAACTTAAATAAGTGCCAAATCAAAATAGGATCCTTCCTTTCAGATGGCTCCGATTGCAACTCCAGTTTCTTCGCAGCCGTCAAAATCGCCTCTATTCGCGGAGTCTCCTTGTGTGGGTAGTCGAAGCCGTGAAAGAGGTGCCAAGCCTTGATTCCAGAAAGGTACGTTCTAATGGTATTCGATTTTATCGGGATGGATGCTCCAAATTGACTATCGGGATTTAGTTTTGGGCCTGCCCAAACCACAAAGTGATTCAAGACTTTCGGATCGATCGGAAGGAGATAGCATCTCGGCACGTTGTATTCTTGTGCGAAGTTCATAAGTTTCGACACACCAGCGTTGTAGTGCTTCAAAGTAGCAGTTGACCATGCTCCGCTAATCATGTAAGCTTTAACGACATCGGTGTTCGACGTATCGACGCCTTCAGCATCTTTTAAGAATTCCATCTATCGAACTTATATATGAAATCTCTTTAATTTGGATGGTGTATGTAGGTTATGGCGAAGGTCAGTTGGATGAAATTGTTTCTCCGATCTTTGCAACAAATATTAAGCATAGTATGCGGGAATGATCGAAACGATTGGGACGATCGGAACTCAGCCTTAACACTGACGTTTCAAGGGGGAACTAAAAAATTTGGTCACAAGTTTCTTAATTTCAATTTCATAGTACTTGTCTAATAAACAGTTCTAAATCTTTAGGTATCTCAATGACTACCATATCTTTCATGGAACGTCTATCTTTACCTCGCGATAGCAAGTCTGCCAGGTTATCATCAGTTTTCACTCATTGAGCCACCATGTCACAATGCAAACGTTCAAGCAACTTCTGGATAACCTTCCACTCATCATTAACAGCTCGATCACCGGACTTCTTGTTATCAACTGCCGCCTGTGATGTGGTATTGTCAGTGAGTACCAGGAAGGATTTTCCCCCTGTCTCCGTGAACGTATTGACCATAAGCAAACCCAGTCAAATAGTGACTGTTTCGGCCCAAGCGATATTTTGCTTAACTCCAACCTCGGACAACTCATTCCACCCCTCTAAGAGTTCGAATTGCGCCCACTTCGAACCAACCAAGATCCCAATGCCTGTGAGTGAAGCATCTCCCACCCAGTCTAGATCGATTGGTACTTGATCAGGAATAATTCTTCTTGGTGAAAAGTTCTTCATGGCCATATGCCATTCCTCCAAGTCTTCTCTCACATCTCCAGGTACTTTCCTTTTTGCTGACGGTACTCGCCACTCTTGCTCCCACCTATAGAGACTCGACATATAGCAACGGAGATAAGGTACAATATAAGTCGTATGTACCAACCTTCCCACGAACTTTTCGACCCTCTTCAAGTTGAACGAAGCTTCAGGTACTAAAAATTCCTCTATCTCCTGAAACCTCTGAGTGAATTTTTCCTCCGGTAATCTAACCGTCCTTTCTCGTGCATTCCATATGAAACCAATATACCGCTGTTCCTCAGCAAATTCATGCACCTTTTCCGAGTTAGAAGTTACACCCATTTCAAAACTTAGTTTTACGATGTCTTTGATGGACGTAGGATTATCTATCTCTTTAACCAGTAAGTTGTCGTCCACCCACCTAAAGGCCTTTTCTAACTTAAAGACTAACACAATGATCTTCTTCCACAAATCTGCCAGCCTTCCAAAAACCCCGCATCCCGCTACTCCACCAAATTGGATTCTAGTATCTAACCACAATCTATTTGAAAGATCCATTAAAAAAAGGTATCTCCACTGGGATGGGTGTATAGCGATTTGCCTATACGCTTTTTCCCAGTCAAACAGGGCTAGTAAGTAATTTCCTTTGTTGTCTCTGAAGAACATTGCCACAATCTTAAAATCGTCCCAAGTTGTGGCGTAATTTTTCTTGTCCACAAAACTATTTACTGATGGTATATCTTTGTTGTCGTGGGGAAAAGACAGATCGTTAATAATCCTGAAGGAGCCGTCACCATTTATTACGCTACCCATCGGACTCGACCTGAAGAATCCAATACTTCTTCGTGCGTAAACGGTCCAAAAATCCTGTTTGCACGCTTTTCTTTTTCTAACGTATTTTTAATCTTCTCAGACGCGAGGATGGCCGAATCGTGATTTCCCGGAGTGAACCACCTCCTATTTCCTAAGGTATGATTGGGAATCCCTTGATGGAAACCGTCAATACACCCTTTTATGACATCTTCCGCATCATCCTTAATACCGTGAAACCTGATAAGTGACTTCCACTTCGCTAGGTTCAGATCGCACACCGCGTACTCTAGAGGCCACCTATTATCGTAGGACCTTCCGGAATTCCTATAAGGTAATAGTCTTACGATCTCTACTTGGGGAGTAACTCTCAGTTGAGGACTTATCTTCGGCGATGAAACCGCGGCCTTCCAATCAAAACTATAACGAGAAAGGCACAGGGTGGATTCAGACATGTCAGAAGTTTGTCACCAGCAATTGTCTCACGACGTTTATTTCAACAGGACCGGACATCAGAAACCGGATATCAACCAGGTCAAAAGGGAGAAACGACGGAAAAACGGATAATGGGCAGCTACAACTGCAGAACCCCTTCCGGACAACGTGAAGTTCAACAGAACATGTGACCGTGGTACATATCAAGAAAGAAACAACGGTTCTAGGTCAACCACATAACCCAATATGTGTTGGGGCACTCCGATGTTGGTACGTCTTCAGACAAATGAAAGGTGTGTGGAAATTATTCATCACATAAATTCACTCCAGTTCAACGGCTTACTTTGCCTTTCCACTTCCCCCGTATTTTGGTCCGTTCGTATCACCTTTGCGATCATCACGTCTATTGTCACGACGCCAGGAATTACCACCTTCTCCTCTGCAATTATCATGAAGGTCATTATCACGACTTCCACCATTACGATCTTTGCGACCATCGCGACCATCACGACCATCGCGACCGTGAGACACCCAACCGCCTCCTCTACCCCTTCCACGAACATTCCGACCAGAGTTTCTACGATCCTCGTAATGAGCGTAACTTGAGCTACCTGGTCCATCGTACACAGGGTGGTTTGAGTGCTGATTTGCGTGTTGCCAAGACCTGGCGTTAGGTTTACCATGATGGGTAGCATGCAAACCATTCCCAGAGGGAGTCGTTACATTGTAAGTATTGTAACTATTATAATTCATGACTTCGCCGGATATGGGATTAATGTGACTTTTAGGTTGACCGTCCGAATAAGGATTGATTTCAGCCCAACGAGGTAAGAGATCACCTAGTCGTTCAGTTTCATTTCAAGCTTCTCGTTCTCTATTCTCGTCTTGGATGGCGGGGTTGGCTAACTTCCCATCTTTGTTCCTGAAAGTCATCACAGTAGTTCTGATAGCCTGGTCATATCAAAGGGCCATGATCCAGGAGACGCGCTCTCTTTTAATCGCTAGGACATTTTCGCGATGAATCAGGAATTTGTTGGCTAGACCGTTGTGATTGTAATGACGCAAATAGGCAAGGAATAAATCGAATGCAGTTACCCATTCACCAAAACTCATCTTCCACTCATCGGGGATTGCCAGGCCAGTATACTTTTCATCGTCTTTCTTATCCTTCTTGTTGCGTAAGGAATATTTCATTAATTCTTGCTTCAACCACATGGTGTTAAACACTGATAAAGGGATGTATCCGTCCATAGGCTTCATTTTAGACTCAAAATGTGGTGATAGAGCTACAAGTCCGTTGACCCCGATACCGGCTTTGCCAACTTCGACCGTTACTTTGTCTGAAGTACTAGGTGTGTCGTCTTTGGTCAAGTCGACCTGGATTCTAGTCTTATCGGCCGGGGTTCTCACTCTAGATGGGACAGCAGGAGTTGCAGCCGCAGAGATCTGGGAAAGCGGAGTCGTAGTATTTGCAAGTGCTGACGAGACATTTTGGATTGATGTAATAGCAGGGGTTGCATTATTTACCACAGTGAGACCTTTGGCTTTTAACCACAAATGAAACCCCCGAGGTGGGCTTTCTCCTACATCCGAGACGGTATTCCTGCGGGTGGGGGATTGTTCTGTAGAACGTATGCAAGCAGATGATATCGCCAAGGCATTTTAGTCTCATAATCTTTGCACTCTCCCTTTCTGGAGGCTTCACCCTAAGGTGGCAACACAAGATGTGGGGGGTTTGGAAACATCACATCGTGCGGCAACACCAGAGGTGGGTTATGAATTCTATCAAATTTAGCTTACGACTTGGCGTATCAATGACATTGTCCCTGGAGATCAGACCGGCGGAGTGTAAAACTGAAGTACCGGACAAGGGTGCACCGGTCTGTGCATTTGGCACGGCGTTTCCTTGTGGCTCGGCGGGCGGTAAAGGTGGTAAAGACGACGATGTATCTGGACCGGAACCTGGGACTGTTAAGGTGACCACCGGGGTGACTCCTCTTGCTGGTGAACGTGATCCTCGAGTGGAGGTAGGGCCACCACCACGACCACGACTCCGAATATTCGCCACTTGCACAGCTGGAACAATAATCTCTGAGTCAGGAGGAGGGACGGATCCACCCCTTAATCCTCTACTGGATCTTCTCAACATTGCATTGAAGGTCTCCGTATTCGTAGCCTTCTCACCGTTATTAGCCATCTTCTCTGAGTTGGGTTACGAAGTATAGAAATCGAACCGAATTGTGAACAGATAAGTGTTTGAGCTCCACACGAATGTTTCGAAAAAAGAGAGAGAGATGATAGTAAAAGCTTGTAAAGCTATACTATGGGAGAGAGAGACCTTGACAGTGAGGTAGTGAGAGATTTCCAGATGTGAGCGTGGGAGTTCGTGGAAATGGGGGTTTGGCACGTGAAGAGATCTTCAAGGTGGGAGGAATACAGTGGGTAAAGTCAAGAATGTGTAACAGGTCCCCCCCACATAGGTCCCGGGTCCGAAATCTTTGAGATTTGAGAAAAAAATGTGCGTAGGGTTAGGGTTAGGGGTTGGCTTAGGGGTTGGAGCTGGAAGCTGGGCTAACATTACATTGTTCTTTAGAATATCGAAAGCACTCTCGGGAATGCAAAGGTTTTGCAGATTCCAAGAACCTATTCGAGAAATCACGGAAGTCATGCCCAGTTTTGACCATCCGGAGATACTTTCGAAAGATCAATAGGCAGCATTCAGCATATGCGTAGGTTCTCTTCCTTTCTGACTAGGCTTGTTCCTACTGACACATAGTTGATTTCAGGCAAGGATACAACAGTGTTGATGCTGCCACGGTTGTGAAGTTGTATTCTTCCCATCGATGTGTTCCAAGGAATGCCGCATTGAGAGTCGATGTCATCGCTCCACAGCCACGACAGTAAATATCATTCAACAATACAAGAAGTTGCAAATTTAGGTAGGTGGTTTTTCTCTCTCTCTCTCTCTCTCTTGTTGGTCAAGGATCAATGTGCCTTGCAATGATACGTCTCAAGCAAGGTGATCGAACGTCCAAAGTCGAGCAAAATGCTGAGCCAACACCAGCCTATGTATCTAAGTGCATAAGATACCTAGCAACATACAGTAGGCACCATAGCAGCTTAAGGACATAGCTTTAAGTACTTAAGTATGCCCTAAACCCCTAACTAAGTACTTAGCTTAGGCCTTAAGCCCTGGGTCCGAAGCTCGGAGATCCCAAAAAAAAAAAATTACATTTTGCGACTTCGCTTGGATATATCTAGATTAAACCAAATCTAAGGATTTTGCCTGTCTATGTATTGTGGCCTAACATTGATGTTAAGTGTGGCATCTTTAAGTCAAAGACTCAAATTTCGATTTTGCGGGGGAAGCTGTTACACATTCTTGACTTTACCCACTGTACCTTCCAACCTTGCACATGAATCTCTTGCGCCGAGAAACAAAAATATCCTTGATATAAGGCTATTTTCTAAACCCAACCATTACCCGACTGCCGCTCGCATCATGGAAATTGACGGTACCGTCGTGCCTTTGGGTACCGTCCGTCATTCATTGAAATCAGTTTATCCACATCAGTCACCATCCTAGACCCTTCACGCTGTGCATACAACCTGCTCAGCATTTGCGCATATTTTAATTTCTCTTTATGATCATCTGGTCATTTTCCTTCTGCTACAAGTTCTTTGGTTGCATTTATGCTCAATGTAGAGCAAGCATGTGATGATCCACAAGGAAAGCTGTGTCTTGAGAATTGTTGTCTATACAGACTTTACTGTATTTTCTTATTTCACCATGCAACAGAGGATCAATTGTTTTTTATTCTATTAGTTTCGTTTTAGGATCCCTCCACAATTTCAACATCTGAATTCACAGAGGTCAGGTAGATGGCATCTGAATATACAATTGCTACAGTCAGACGTTCAAATTTCCGCAGGGTACATTGCATAACCACGCTGTATCTGTGTGATGTGTGCATATGAAGCACTTGGGACAAAATGAAACGTAGGACCGAGAAGTGACAAAACTTAGAAATATGCTAGAGCTATTCAATGGAAAGAGAAATCGCAAGTTGTTCTTCAAGGTCAAGAGGTTGGATCGGTCCCAAATTCAATCTTCGGTATTTCAGCAGTCTGACAAACATCGGCTGTGAAGTGGCCAGGTGTCAAATCTTGCAAACGAGTCATCCGGTCAGGTCAATGTTGGTTGATTCGATGCACACCAAAATATTGGATCAGGCATATCATTTCACTTACGGGTAATCCTATTTTGGCTTGAATTTGTTCCATTGCTGTGCGTGTATCTGGAGGAGTATCACTGCAAAATGGTCTTCCATTGACACTTGTGATATATTCTTCCAATGTGGTAAATTTCCACGCTGAATTTGGATTGACTCTGAAGGAATAACAAAGATAGATCAGCAATAAGTCGCATACATACAGTCTGAAAAAGTATCACTCAACAGCTTGTTATGATTATCACTTCCAAAATCCAATTTTCCGTCCGACATCCAGATTCGTAACCACGCGAGCATAATTATTTCTGCTGATTTTTCTAGCTCAGCCTTGAATGTCTCAAGTGGGATTATTTCTAGTTTGATCGACTGGTGGTGTGAATGGTGTGGAGTGACACTTCCCGCGATATTTGAGATGGTGCTAGGTTGTTCAGCCGATTCGGAGCTTTGGGGACCAGTGCCATACTCACTAAACACTTCTGCGGCTTGCTTGATAGTGGTGGTAGTACCACTGATAATGACATGATCAGGAATTTCTTTCCCTGTACCTTTGATAGCGAGAGAGCAAATTGAGGCCACCGCTAAGCCGATATCCACTTTGGAAGTCAGGCTGAATGGTACGTCTGCGTTTTGCACCGCAGTGAAGACTTGATTTTGAACATCGAGTCCAACTATTGGAGAATCGTGAGTTGACATGATATGAGCTATATGATAGTGCACCCATATCTGAGAATTATAATGAAGGACGACAGGAAAATTTGACATACACCATGCCCTAAATGTGCCCTCCAGAAATAAACCGCTGTAAATGCTGATGACCCGAAACTTTCCAAGACCTCTTGCCTTCTTCTCGCGTTGTATTTTCTGATTCCACACAATTGTTGGATCCTCCAATTGAACTCGACGCGTATCAATTCCAAATTCAGATGGAATGTAATACTTTATGGAATCCAAACCCGCAACGGCATCTAAGAGTAAATCTTTCTGTCGGTTTGTATCTCCTGTATGGCCTAGAACATCTACGATTGTGACATCCTTGAGAGCTGCCGCTAAGTGTTCTTTAGAAGTAAAATCCACTTGAATGACTGTTGCGCCAGCTTTTTGAAATTCTTGGACGATGTGAGTACTTGGATTTCGAGTCAATATGCGAACCTGGAATGAGAAACTGCGTTAACGCACTTACTTTTCGAGAAGGGCAAATATTAAGAAAGATTGGTAAAATAGTACATCACCTCTTGAAAACTTTCTCGGAAGGGTGGGTTCAGGATAGCAGCCGTGACGAATTGTCCAAGGCTTCCTAAGGATATGAATAATCCGATAAAGACAGAACAGAGATATCTTCGTCATCACAATCACTTTGTAGCTATATGATAGCTTGAATATGATAATAATGGAAAGCTTGGTTGCACATAGATTGTCGTACCTGTGGCACCGGCGATGGCAACAACCATGATAAATGATAGCACCGTAATGGACGGAGACGGATTGTCTGGATCCCTCACGGCGTCCGTCTCGTAAAATGACCAAAAGTAGGCGCGAGCGTGAGACTTTTGCTAAGTTTGACTAAACCAAACCCAAGTTCCCATCTCGGCGTATCAAGCGGTTATCAACTTGACCTATACAACCTCAACTGCTCGATCTCAATTTCCTGATCAAACTCAGCAAAGCCGCTCGCATCTCGTCGGACGCTGAAATGCGCAGTGGGAGTTGATGATTTGACACATGCAAATGCTACCAAGAGGAGAGAATGGCATTATAAACCTCTCAAAAAGGACAAAACCTAAAAGTCAGCTTGGCCCTGGGACCAGCTCCAATAGTCATGACATTGGGACGTCCAAAAATCCACCTTTTGATTTATTTACTGTTGCCAGAGAACCTTTCAAAAGAAGGTGCAAAGCATCATACCACTTTCATGTCAGATGAAGGGATGATGATGTGCCTCACGGGAGCCATGTGAGGCACGACAACAAGAAACTGATGATAGCCTAATGCCTAACAGCTTGAGATAAAGGTTAAACTCAACAAAATCTCAACACTCTGTTGAGTTCAACCACAAAAGATCCAATAAGTGCCCAATCTATTCCTTGTGGAGACTTTGTTATGTGCAGGAAAGGATCAATGGTGTCAGATTAGGTTATATGTTGGAAGGGGTAGTCAGTTTCCGGACCATGTCTTATTTGTTCTTTCTTCTCATCCAATCTTTTCTCATAGCCACATAATCTAGCTTGGATACTCACTCATGCAAGATTTCACCTGTTGTTTATCCTATATTTGAGATTCCGGACAGTTGGTAAACAATTGCCTGTTGGTGTTCAATCGACTCAGTCATCGAAATCAATTAACAATTTTCTTTTCATACGTCGAAGAACAACAAATCATGTCCCAATGCCAAGCCAGTCGTAATGCAGAAAAATTCATAAAGTTCACGCATTTCCGTTATGTAGTTCAGTCTTAGGACATTTTCAATTTCTCTTATTACGGCCGTATTCATGATTGATGAGCATTTGAAAGAAAAACTTTTTGAATAATCACAGCGAATTGTGAATACAGGACCAGGTACAGCAAGGATCATTGATCACCACAGTTGTTCTTTTGAGGTTTCATTCTTGTTATTTTCTTTTCATTATCTTGCAACTGATTCAACTTGAGATATGTGTTAGTTTACCTTTTGCTTAGATCACAAGCTCACTATTATCACCGTGTACATTTCACTATTATCTTAACCTCATAACAGGTTAGCTATCTTTCCTAAAAGCAGGAAGTTGTTTCCTTATCTGACAAGAGCGTGTTATCAGTTTTCTCTACAGTAGGCTGTTCATCTAAGACAGTGTTTCAAAACACTTAGGCATTTCCATTGCCATCATGTGCGAAGAAGGTGAAGAGTCCAACGCAAACGTTGGCAAGAAGGTGATCTCAAAATCAGACTCTAGATTGTCTCCTCTATCAAGATATGAGGCTATCTCTGAACCTGAAGCGCACGAAGTCAATTCGAGGCCTAGCACTCCTTCTACACGCGCCTCACCTTGTGGTTCAGGACGAAATGGACAACTTCTCGGATCCGATTTCACGACTTACACTGAAAGTTCATCAAGCTCTATTCGCTCCGCTGCACCTAGTAGTGGTCATCCATTGTACACTGACATGCCCACTTCTGCCATGCGACGTGCGTTGGCCGTGAGATTGACGGATAGCAAGCGCGATATTCCTCATTACTACCTCGCCTCTGATATCCAAATGGATCGATTGACCAGTTTGAGAGCTTCGTTAAGCAAAGCTGCAACTACTCAACCAAACTCTGCTCAAGGTGCGGCGCAAGCACCTCCGAAATTGACCATCAACGATTTTGTGATCAAGGGTGTAGCACTTGCCTGTGCAGATGTACCAGAGGTCAATGCAGAATGGCACGGCGAATTCATCAGACAGTTGGGTCTATCCACTGAGTTCTCACTGGCTCACATCCATCTTATTTGCATTCAGACTAATATGAGCCAATTTTGTAGATTCAACACCATTGACATTTCAGTCGTTGTTGCTACGTCTACTGGAATATGCGTCCCGGTCGTCAGAGATGTGGGGAGTAAAGGCTTAAACTCGATTTCATCACAAGTCAAAGCTTTGGCCGAAAAGGCTAGAAATTATTTATTAACTTCAGATGATCATGAAGGTGGAGGTTTTATGGTTTCCAACTTGGGAATGTATGGATCTGTATCAAATTTTACGTCTATTATCAAACCACCTCAAACTTGTACCTTGGCAATTGGAGGACTTCATAGGAAACTAGTGATGGATGCTACAAGTGAAAGAGGGTTTAAGGAGATCGAGATGATGAAGGTTACTTTGGCTTTGGATCATCGGGCTTTAGATGGAGCTGTTGGTGCTCGATGGTACGTTTATATATACCCCGTACCACTCAAAATGTCTTACTCATTTGACTCGATTTTTTCTCCTCAATGTAGGTTGAAAGCGTTCAAGGGTCATATGGAGAATCCTGTTTCATTCATGCTTTGATTCAATCTTTTTATGTTTTGGGATAACATAAAGAAGTGATTTCTTATATCTATCTCTTGAATTTCAAGATAGAAGAAATACATAATTATGATTTGTGATATTCATCCAAATGTTCTCTCATTCATGCAGGTCTCATTGCCATTGTCATTCCCAGTCTCCAGCAATCTACTGGTGCTCCCAAAAGGGTTGAGTTGGGGATCTGGGAAAAAAACCCGGGTTTTTACTTTGTATCCGATTCCCATATATGAAGACAACATTAAATGAGAAATAATCAAAACTGGGTAGACTACAAAAGCCCCACTTTACACGTTTGTTAGACGCGTATAAGACACTCAACTCAGCATTTGTTTTGATCTATCAGATTGGTGTTCAAATTTTAAGATGTCTGTGACCCAAAATAGATTTTCATTGACCAACCTCTCTTGATGATAAAGCAAGATGGATAGGTGTATCGGAACTTTTCTTTTCTTTGATTTGTTCATATGCATTTATCAGGAATGCAGCATGATGAAGATTGAAACATTGAGAATGAGGAATTCAGAGAATCTCTGATCAGAAACAAATATGAAAAACAGAAAAAACACAGTTTGATGTATCTTGAAAGCAGTGTTAGAAGATGAAAAGGCATAGGGGTTTGTTGTTGTTTGTTATAAGAATGAACAGAAAAGCTTTCAGCGCGACAACAGCATTTATGAAGGACAGCAGTACAAACGGCCAGCTTCAAATCACGTTAGAAGATATCCTCACGAAGAAAATATCTTAAGAGTCTTTTATCCTTTTGACAGTTGTAAAGAGGATTCCTTTCAGCCATTAATGTGACACAAACATTTGAATGTAAGACTGTTTTATATACTTCGGAAGATGCTTGAAGTACAGCGCAGAATTTTATCAGACAGTCTTCGAAGATCCTGACAGACTCCGAGAATATTTTGCGATTGACATACCAATACGACGTGAGGATTGAAGGTAGGCAGAATCGGGCAAAATAGGTACACTGAACAATGCCCGCGGCCTTGTGAGAATAGCAATCAGTAAGGAGTCACTGCGATAATTACTTCAGATCCTAAGCCAGAGTTGACATCGATCACAGTTTTCATTTTGGGAGCCCTTCTCGATATCAAGAAGCTCAGATGGACCGCACGTGAGTATACGATTCCTATAATCGTACGTTAAGATTTCCAGAGGGCACAACCACACTTTCTCTGAGCGATGTGTGGATCTGAAGCACTTGGTATAAGCTGGGCAGTAGCACAGAGAAGTGACAAACTTGTACCATTCAAAATTGCAAAATATACAAGAGTTGTTCAATACAAGAAGAAAGTCCACCGTGTCTTTCAAGGTAAAGAAGTTTGATCGGTCCCAATCTTGGGTATCTCAGCAGTCTGACCAACATCCGCTGTAAAGTGGCCAGGCGTTAATTCCTAAAACCGAGTCACCCAATAAGGTCAGTTTGAGGTATACCAGAAAATCTGGTCAAGCAGATGATTCGACTTACGGGTAATCCTATTTTGGCTTGAATTTGTTCCATGGCTGTGCGCGTATCTGGAACGAAATCATTGCAGAATGGTCTTCCATTGACACTTTTAATGTATTCTTCCAATGTAGTAAATTTCCAAACTGAATTCGGATTGACTCTGAAGAAAAAATAAAAATGACATCAGCAAATGAATCTTATATAGTCTCAGAAAGAAGCACTCAACAGCTTGTTATGATTATCACTTCCGAAATCCAATTTTCCATCGGAGATCAAGAATCGTAACCACGCGAGCATACTGATTTCTGGTGGTTTGTCTAGCTCAGCCTTGAAAGATTCAAGTGGAATTGTTTCCACTTTGATTGACTGATGGTGGGAATGGTGGGGAGTAACACTATCCGCAATCTTTTGAATGATGCTAGGTTTTTCAGCCGATTCAGTGTCCTGGGGAAGACTGCCATGTTTGCTAAATAATTCTGCGGCTAGCTTGGTAGTGGTCGTAATACCACTGATGATAACGTGATCAGGAATTTCTTTGCCTGCCCCCTTAACAGCGAGAGAAGCAATTGAGGCAACTGCTAAACCGATATCCACTTTAGAAGTCAGACTGAATGGTACGTCTGTTTTTTCCACCGCAGTGAAAACTTGATTTTGAACATCGAATCCCACTATTACAAAAGCGTGAGGTAACATAATTGACTATCAGCTACATCGCAGTGCATCTAGACAGGGTTAAAAACATGATGACAGAAGACAAGAAACGCAAATCTGACATACACCATGGCCCAAATGTGATTTCTAAAAACAGACCGGTGATGAAGCTGATTACCCGAAACTTGCCAAGATCTCTAGCCTTCTTCTCACGTTTGATTTTGAGATTCCACTCGATTTTTGGATCTTTGAATTGAACTTGACGAGTATCAATCCCAAATTCAGATGGAATGTAATACTTGACTGAATCTAAACCTGAAATGACATCTAATAGTAAATCCTTCTGTTGATTTGAGTCTCCTTTACCACCCAAGACATCGACTACAATTGTGACATCTTTTAGAGCTGCTTCTAAGCGTTCTTTAGAAGTAAAATCAACTTTGATGACTGTAGCGCCAGCTTTTTGGAATTCTTGGACGATGGGAGTATCTGGGTTTCGTGTCAAGATGCGAACCTAGAAATTGAATGGGAAACAGCCTTAACACACTTTTGTCCGACCTTTGGAGAAGTTCAAATAGTAGGCAGGATTAGTAAAGTATGTAGTCGATCACCTCTTGGAAACTCCCTCGGAAGGGTGTGTTCAGGAAAGCAGCCGTGACGAACTGTCCAAGGCTTCCTAAGTATATGTATGATCCGATAAAGACAGAATAGAGATATCTTGTTTCAGCATCACAGTCACCTTGTCCATGACATCTTCAAGTTGATAATATTACAAAGCTGAGATGAACATTCGTACCTGTGGCACCAGCAATTGCAACGACCATGATCAAGGCTAGGATACGATAAGAATATATAAGGGTGCGGTTGAGATCTAGTTATAACTCAGCTAGCAGTCACTCAATTTTATTCTTTCATCAATTGCCGATTTGTTGGTATTTGGTAAACTGCCAAAGCAGGTATGAGTCATCATCACGATGACGTGCTCGGCTATGGGAGAGTTCCTGCATATGAAGGTTGCATGTGTAATCATCTCACGCAAACCCAGTAGGTGCGTTAAAAGACCGGGAGTAAGTATCAAATGGGTCGTGCAATAAACTTATCAAAGTCAAGCTTGAGGCACTAATTACGGCTAAAGTCATGGTTTTCAACTCAAAACAGCAGAATGTTTGGCTTTTTCTCTGTTTTTGCCCATTATAAGGGTCACAGACCTCATAAAATCACTCACAGCCACTCATAGCTTCCTTAACATCTTATGCATATCCTGCTGCCAGTTTCAGATTGTCACTGCAGGTAGATTCACTGGTATTTTGATTCTTGGACACTCTTGGGGGTTTCAAGGACACCTTGGTAATGCACCGACCCGGCCCGGAAAAACCGGGTTGGCACCGGGACCGGGACCGGGTCGAGCGGGTCTCGGCGCGGCTCCAAGGAAGATCGGGCTGACCCGGTCCGGCCTGTTGATAGGAAAACAGGCAAGTTTTGGTGAAATGATCTGCAATTTCCACAGAAAATGATATCATTTCTTCATTTAGTCAAATTATTATTCACTATTGCTGCCGTACGAGGCTTTTACAAAGGTATCTGAAGCCCAATTCAGGATTCAAGCCTGCCCGGCGTCAATTTTGTGAGTTATTTGTTCCTTTCAAAGCGCACATTGAGTTTGAGCTACCGGACCCGGTCGACCCGGTTTGAAGCTGGCTTGGTCTTGGGCGAGCTGAGAATCTCCGGGTCAGGGCCAGGTCGATGCATTACACCTTGGGGGGTCCTGTATTGAATTAGGTGTTGCAGCTACAAGTTCTTACAACTCTTCTGAGTGAGTTTGATGAATGAATTGTGTGCTGAAACATGCACAAGGACATGTAGAAGTCTTGAGAGAAGACCCATCAAGCTGCAAGTATGATTTTATGAGGTCTGTGACTCTCATAATAGAGGATCAAGGAAGGGGGGACTTTGATAAGTTTAGTTGTCCAATAACTCAGCGGCTAACCACTAGCTGCTAGACCTGTCCACTGCCATACATGCAGCTTCTCCTTACAGACTTCATGGACAGACTCTTCCACATACTCAATCAAACCAGAAGTAAACCAATCCAGCATGGACAACACACATCCTACCTCCAGGACAGAATGCACCCCCACAAGCGGCACTCATCTTCTTTCTGGGACACATTGCCACACCAAGAAAGCTTGGAAGTCATCTCACTGGGACCCAGGTATGCTCCTATAAGGGGTACTGATCTGAAAATGTGACTTTTGAGCTTCTGCGGAAACTTGTCACTTACTTTACCCATAGCTTTAGGATGAGTTTAATATTTCTAATCAGCTGTATCAAGGCTTTAGAAACTCTGAAATGGGCAGGACCCAGCAGAAAACATGTGAGCAATGTACATAATCCCATGTGTTGTATCTCCGCAGGAGCTTGAAAGTCACAATTCTAGATCAGTGCCCCTTATTGGAGCATACCCGGGTCCTATCTCACCTTCACCACCACATGCAAACAGAATGGCAAGTTTGATCACATACTTTACATACATATAATCCACAGAAAGACAATACAGAAGATTGATCCTCCTTTGGTTCACTCACCTAATTCAACATTAACCTTAACTACGCTCCACGGATGAATTTTTTGCAAAACATCCTAGAATATGCTCACAAGCCTAAGCTGTCTTGGCTTTCCATGTACACAAGCACCCTAAAAGTCAAGGCTTTGATGGCTTTGCCTTCCTTGGGTCCACTGAATCTGTTGCAACCTCTACCTCCCATCAGAAAAGAACATCTGACCAGTGTAATTTGTCAATCAGCCAAGTGCTCAAACACAACATCACAATCTGATACATCATAATACTATGTGGTTGTAGTATCATGATGTAACAATTGTGATCCTCTCTTTCCAGCCTGAAGAGAGGGCATTCTGGTAATTTATGATGTACAACAGCAGGCAATCACAGTGTCCTGACACAATATTCATGTTCCTATATATTCCTTCCCATAAGAGCATTGCCACCGGACCATGTAAACAGCCTGTATGGGTTACACAACATCCAAATCTTGACCAGGACAGCAAAGACCCAAATACAACCAAAAGGGTAGCAACTCTTGACATTGATTCTCAATGGTGAGCCTTCAAGTTTTTATATTAGTGATCATCACAAGAACCATGTTGCAGAAGTCTGTCCCTTAGCTCCATGGGGCAATAAACATTTTCACCTCTTCAATATTACACAGTTGCAGCTTTGGCAACCTCCAGGAAAATCTGTGATACAGGCCACAACCTGACAAACTGTCAAGGTGGACACGTCTGATTTGCACTCCAACAGTGGAGATGCTCTAAGAAAGGGGTGAGTGGGGAAAATTCATATGTGAAACAAGCAGATGGGTTGCTAAAAAGTCAAAATAATGAACATCAATACCACATTGGTCTGGTTATGCATTTAACACTCAGGCCAATGCTGTGGCCTCTTCTGGCAGGGAACTGCTCATCCTGGTGGTGAACGGGAAGGAATTGGCCAGAGGTGAGTGAAAGCAATTGGGCCAAACATATACTGGATGGTTTCTAGGGGGTATGAAGAGGGCTGTACAGATGTCACATGTAATGACAGTTTGGGATTATACATCAGGCATCAACCTGTATGTATTAATTTGCACAGGTCTGGCAGCTAAAAGATAGCAGCTATCTTATTGCACAACCCTTCCAATGCTCTGGTTAACTCCACTCAGAGCTTGCTGCACACATCAGTCTTGTTGTGAAACTGGTCCGTAACAGAAGAAATTACCTCTTGTGTGCCTGCTTCTGCCACCTCCAAAAGGGAATAAGCTCAGGACTGAGGTTGTCAATTTAAGAATAGTTTCCTCAATCCTACCTTGATGTTTGTTAAGCTTATACCCATTCAATCAAATGATGAATACAACATCAATATCAAGAAAGATGAGGTAGCTTGAAGGTGAGAAGTTCCCAAAAAAACCTTTTTGAGGTTTGAAAATAGAATGTTCTTGCAAGTTGCACCATGGCACCTCAAAAGCACTGATTGGATTTGTGCAATATGTTACAAAGTTGATGAAAGGCTTTGTTCTGTGATTCTTAAGATTGGTTAAGTATTAATGACCTTCTCCAACACTGCCAGGATTAAAGCTTGGTGGGAATCAGCACTAGGCTGGGAACATTTTTGAGAGTAGAATGGGTCATGAAGCCATCACGCAGTGGCCATCTGAGCAATAAAGTATATGTTACATATGTGCAAACATCTGAGTTAATACTTAGCTATCATCTACATATAGCTCCGCTCAGTTACCTGCTCATCTGGTTGAGAAATTCACATGTAATACGTTCTGTAACTTTGTTACAATTGCAACAAACAGCCCAAAAAATTGACTACATATATCACAATGGCTACTGAGGAAATACTTATGAAGATATTTAGCAGTAACAGATGGGGAAATTGGTTCCTGGGAATCTCTTCAATGCTGCTGTTCAGCTTTACACTTGAAATGATTTTTTTTTCTTTAACACAAGAGGTTTGTGAAATTTTTCACTTGTCTGTGTGAAGGATCTTTAGGAGTGAAGAAGATTGTCAAAGAATTTCACAAGACTTGAAAAAGTTCAAGTTAATTTTTGATTAAATTAGATATTCATTTCTGAAGAAATCACTTCCAATATTCTTTTGAAAAAAAATCAAATCATCATTGTTGGATCTTCTGAACTTCTCTTTCTTATCTAGCCATTTCATAACTGACCACAAAAAACAATTTTGGTCCAAGTTCCTGGTAGATTGAAATGAGTGTTGTATGTGCAAAACATTAGTGAGGCCCAAATAAACTTATTGTCTCTTCTAGTCACTGGGATTATCATAAGACCATTTTGTTGTATACTCAAGACCTCTTAACCCCTTACCATAAAGCATTTCATACAACTCATAGTATTATGCTTCAAAGCTATCAAAGTGATTTAGTGTGCACTGCTATTATTAAACTACATATTTTTTAGAAGCTTTGAAAAGTTTGATTAATCTTCAAGTAACAAAGAAAAACTTCATAAACAACCTCAATAAAAAGATCCAAGAATACAAAACCTTGTAAATTCACAGGTGTATCCCAATTCCAAACTTAACAAAGAAAAATCAATGAGTTCATTGAGAAATGTAATGATGAACACAAAAAGAAAGAAACAAATCTTGTTCTGTAGTTTTGATGATCTCTATGATTTAACCTATCTTGTGACTTTCAACTTATCCAAAATGATCAACACCCAATCAAAATTCAATCCCAGACTTTTTGCACAAGCATTTTGCACTCAGTCTTTGATGAGCAAAAAGATCATCAGAGTTCTTCAATAGTGGTACACAAACATTACAACCCATTTGAAAAACCCATTTAAGAAAAAATATAAAAACCCATTCAAAAAAATATTTTTTTGAACAGAAAATTCCAGAGGGACCCAATTTATTTTTCTGTTCAAAAAAATAATTTTTTAAATGGGTTTTTCTATTTTTTCTCAAATGGGTTTTTCAAATGGGTTGTAATGTTTGTGTACCACTAATACTGTAACAATTTATGATACCTTACAACATACTTTCATTCAAACTCTTATAAGAAGAACATGTCTTCTAACCACTTCATACCTAAATTACTCATCAAAGTAAAAAGTAGAGTTCTTCAAGGAACAATTCAAAAAAAAACCTTTCAAATCCAATTCAACCAAGGGTTTCCAGAACCTCTATTTACTTCAATCATCAATCAATGACAATGAAAGTCTTATAACCAAAAATCTAATGGAACATAAGACCCAAACCAAACAAGAACCACAACCACTCAATGCCAAAAATCAATCAAATTAAAAGAAAAGTATCATTCTCAAGTATCATTCTTTTCTTTAATTTTCATTGTGATAATAATCCAAAAACCCTTTTGATCATCAAAAGATCAAAGAAAAATCAATCAAGTCTCACAAATGAAGATTCAAAAAGAAAAAAAACAACACTAAAGAAAAAGTTTCCAAAAACAACAACAACCAAAAAAAAGAAAAAAAGAAAAAAAGAAAATAAAGGTATAAATAATAGTGGTTATATATATATAATAAAAAAATCCTTTTTTATTCTTTTTGTAAGTTGATAAACCTTACCAAAAAAGAAAAAATCCCTTCCTCCCAAAAAAAAAACCAACAGAAATCAAATCAAAAAAAAAACGATGATGAAAAAGTATAAAAAGAAACTTATCCTACTCCAGTAACAATAAAAAGAAAAAAGGTGTAGCATGACTAGCAGCAAAGTATGCAAGAAGCAAAAAGAAGACCAACAAGCGAGAAAGCGAGAAAGAAAGAGAGAAAAAAAAGTTTCCTAAATTCCGAGAATCGAACCAAAAGAAAAGAACCCGATTCTCCAAGCCAAAACCTTTCAAGACTATTGACCAATCGCATGTGAAGCACTAGCCGCAGTAAGTGATCCAAAAGAGATGATAAGTTGACTAACAATCTCTAGATTACCACCCACATCATAGGCAGAGGCTACTTCGACTTGACCATAAACTGTAGGAAGATATCCTTTTGACATAGCCACAGTACTAGAGGAGATCGGAGTTGTACTAGTAGAAACGACTTTTCCTGTGTTGACCGTCTTGGTCGAGCTAGTGGATTGACTGAAATTCCAAGGACTCGAATTAGGAACATTGACAGGTGAGACGGGCACAGGAACTGGTGATGAAGTTTGACCGGCTTTCGAGTCTGGTTTGTCATCCGATTTGGGTGGATCAGGTTTCTCTTCCACTTTAGGTGGGTCGACTTTAGCTGGTGGATCAGGTTTGTCTTCTACCTTTGGTGGATCGACTTTAGGTGGTGGAACATAAACTGGAGCTGGTTTGTCTTTAGGTTTGTCTCCTCCATCTCCACCTCCACCTCCACCTCCAACGGACCATGACTAAAAATCGAAAAAAAAAGATGTAAGTCGAATTGAAAGTCGAAAGAAATCTAAAACGATTCTAAACTTACCATGTAGAACACACCAACGTCTTCGGATGCAAAGAACTTGAACAAACTAGGTGACATATCCAATCCACCCTATCGAAAAAAAGAAAAAGAACCAAAGATCGTTAAGAAACAGAACCAATGAATCGAATAAGGAGAAAACGAAATCGAAAGAACGTACCGGAGGACAACCAGGACACAAATCCTTAACAGTAGCTTGACAAGACTTTCCACCATAAGAAATCGTAATCGTCTTACCGCACCAAGAAGAATCATACTGAGCCTGATTGAGTGCGACAATATAATCCGAATCGGTATTGGTATCACCGCAAGAACCTAGACCGGTAGCATAAAACGTAGCTCTACCATGATAACTATCACCACGTTTGTTTAAAGTGTTACGATGATGATGGTTGTTGTTGGCTACTTGAAGATGAGAAGCATTTATAGTTGTAGGGAATAGGGAAAAGAAGAGTAGTGATGAGATTGGAAGAGATGATAAGATGAAGTCCAACATGTTTTTTTTTTTTGAAGTTGATGAGATGGATTGGGATCGATTAATGTTCGGTTTCTTCTTGTTGTTGTTGATTAAGGGTCTGATTGGTTGGTTTGATATGATATGATTTAGAAGACAAGAGAGTGTAAAGTAAAAGTGAAGGATTGAGAAGTGATTATCTAACTCAAATAAAAGAATGTGTGTAATGTGAATCAGATGATGAAACAGACTATCAAGTAATTATCGATTTCTGTTTTAATGAAGTGACTGTGCACTGGCTTGAGCTTGATGGATGAATGTGAATGTACCTTTTTTCTATTTTCAAAGCGGATTCATTCAAAATAATCGAAAATGCTTTAAAATCAAATTGATAAGATCTCTCTATATGTAAACTACTACTACTAAGACGTATGTACATAACTTCATATCTGACCTGAATCAGTCTCAATCAACTGTTTTTTTAAATTAATTTTACTTAGTACAACTCTACATTAGCTTGAACAAGCCAAACTCTACAACTCTTCTCTTCTCACCAACCAATTCATTCTCATTCTCAAAATCAACATTCAATTCAATCTATTCAATCACTTGCATATATTGCTCACACCCTTATCCATCATCACACACTCTAATAATAAGACTCTCCAACAACAGTGTAACACTAACCAACGACTTCACTTGATAGAGCATAACCAATATATTGTAACTGAAGGTATATCATCACTATAACATTTTCAAAGTGATCAAATATGAAGACTGGTATAACTACTAAAGTAACAAAGCTTACCCAACAAACATCTTGTACATGATGAAAAAAATGAGTCCCAAACTTTTTTCACTCCATTAAAAATTGTTGATAAACCTCCTAAAGAATCGATTTTCACATCAATCAACTTGTCCCAAGCAAAAAAAAAAGGGTAAGACATTAACTTTTGCGACTTACATTATCAGTTTCATCTGTAAAAGAGTAACCCAATTCGATCAAAAACTTTTCAAATCGATCCAACTCATCTTTTCTAACCTGAATGCCTGCCAAGACTCTTGACATATCTGCTCCATGATTTCTACAAACCAGATTTCTCTATCAATCATCTCAACAAAACCTCCAAGGCCAAAGAAGAAATCAGACTTACCTATAATGAAACAGTGTTACATTAAAGGCTTCACTAGAGGATGAAGATCCACTACTGAGTCCGATCAAGAACTTATGTAATGCTCCAGGTCTTTCAGGAAACACAAACGAAATCAATCTCTCATCTTTAACTTGTGTACGACCTAGCCTTCAAAAGAAACCAATCTATTAGCTTGATGATTTTCATTAAATCATTCATCCAAAAAAAACTTACCGCCCACTAAATACCGTGCATGACTTTTGGCCATCTCATTATCTGAAATATCTTGGGCTTTCATTCCGATGGGATCTTTTCCAATCGATTCAATCACTTCTGTTAACTCTTTTTGTCTTTTGGTTTTAGAATCCATAGGTACTTCTGTTCTTTCTTGACGACGAATAGATGATGATGAAAGTCTAAAAGAAATGAAAATCGAAGCTTGGGTCGAATTGGATGCGTATCGATATGAAAACTCAGTTACTGGTCTTGGTTGAATATACGAATGTAGTTTGACAAAGCTAATGTGTCAAACAAATCCATCAGGTTTTCTTATTTCTTCTTGGATTCATTTGTAGAACAAAAAAGTCTTACCTTCCAGGCTGTTCTGGTACAGTCACACTTAGGAGCGCTTCACGATCATCTCCCAAGTCGGCACGCTCGGCAACAAACCTCAGACGGTCAAAGTTCATGTTGGCACCACTGACGATGCCGACAAACCGTTTACCTGATCCTACCAGGTTGTTTTGGTGAATGTATCGTTTCATTCCAGCTACTGCTAACGAGCCAGCTGGTTCAGGTACCGACCTAGTGTCTAAGAAAATAAGTCAGCAAATCGAAATAAGAGAATGATGAGTAAACAAATGGATGAGTTGATTAGATTTAGATCTACACACACACCTTCAAACACATCCTTGATACTTGCACACAGCTCATCATTAGTGACGGTGATCATCTCATCGACGTGTTCCTTACAAATCCTAAAAGTTTCTTCACCAACGACTCTAACTGCAGTTCCATCACTAAACAACCCGACTTCATTCAACACGACTCTTTGACCTGATTCCAAACTATCAGTCATGGCTTTCTGATCTTCACATTCGACACCAATGACTTTCAAACCCGGATGACCGATCCGTTTCACATAACTTGCAATCCCAGCCAAAAGTCCTCCACCACCCACACAAACGAAAATCGCATCTAATCCGTCTTCGACTTGTTTTAAAATCTCAAGTCCAATCGTACCTTGACCTGAGATCACATAAGGATCATCAAAGGGTGGAACATTTGTCAAGCCTTTTTGGTGAGTAAGTCGACTACATTCTCTTTTAGCTTCATCAAAATCATCTCCATGTAATAAAACTGAGGATCCTAATCTTCCGACGTTTTTGTATTTGATCGATGGAGTTGCGAGTGGCATGACTATTGTGGCTTTGATGTTTAAGGCTTTGGCTGACATGGCTACTCCTTGAGCATGGTTTCCTGTGAAATTCATGTGTTAAAGAAATCTAAGTCATCAACATATGAAGCCATCTCTCTGAAATATATAAGGGTTGACTTACCTGCACTACAAGCGATGACTCCTTTTGCCTTATCTTCTGCTGATAAATGAGCCATCATATTATAAGCCCCACGAATCTACCACACAAAACCCAAAGTAAAATCCCAAAAAGTTCAATCAAATCCTATCCAAAGTAGGAATTCAAAACCTTTTCAACTTACTTTAAAACTAAAAACCGGTTGTAAATCTTCACGTTTAAGTCCAACCCAAACACCTAATCGATCACTCAAATTAATGGCATGAGTCAAGGGAGTTTCTTGAATAAGATCATAAACTTTTGAATTTAAGATCAGTTTTAGGTAATCAGGTGTTCCATCTTGAAGTAAATGATGAAAAGGTAAACGAGAGTATAGATGGGATGGGATGGATTGGTTGGTCGGTTCGGTTGGGGGTGATGGTAGGGGTGGTTGCAGGTCTGATGAGGCTGGTAGATGATTCATTTGGAATGCGTTTGGAAATCTTACAAGAAATGTTGGTTAGGCTGAGCATTTTTTTTGGGCACCAAAGCTTTTGTTACAGGTTGACCCCAATTGATTGTTACATGTCATACATCCATATGTAAAACCATATGTATTCCTCATAACTTGATCACTCATCTTGAAGTCACAATTGTCAATAACACGATATTTATTTACAAACTCTTGAAAGTGACTTCAACGGAATGCTGAAGATGTTTTAGTCTTTGATGAACTTGGATCTCAGTTTTCCAACTCAGGGGCAGAAGAAGTTTGATTATGTAACCGGTTTGGAGATCTGATTGAATAAAGTTTGGATTCAGTAGGTTTGAATCGATTTTTGATACAATCAAATCTGGTTTCTGATTTCTTGTTTGTGTGTTCTGATTTCCAAGATATTTCTTCAATCGATTCACTTCACCAACCCAGCATATATATCCAGTAAAAATATATATCCAATAAAACAATATATATCCAATTGAAGTGACTTATCATGTTCTTCAATCTCATCACTCTCGATCAACTCTCGATCATCTTAATCAGTTGCTTCATCTTCATCAGTTTCTACAATACGTTCAGACATCAACCACAACCTTCAAGTTATCCAATCTTACTTGGAATGCAATCTGATATTTCAAGAGTTAGAAGGAAATCTGAAACTCCGATCTTTAGAAATACTAGCTTTGGTATGGGAATGGTGAGTTTGGGATTTAGGTCTTTTTTACTTGAGTTTCTTGAGTTTTGGGTAGTTTGGTTGAGAGTAGAGAAGAATCATTTCGTAAATGATAAGCAAAAAAGCTTTGATACACGGAAAACCAATGAAATACTTTTTGCTGGGTGATGCTCTGGATTGTGAAAGTGTCTTGAAGATATGTAATCTCGAGCCATCGTCACCCAATCATCGAGGGTATACTCTTGCTGAGCAGGGTGTTTTGCTTATCAAGTTTAGAATGGAATGATTCTGATATCAACTTGATCTTCTTGTTCTTAGCTTACCCCAAGCCATTCAATCAAGTCCTTCAACGATCTCATCTCACTCTCAAATGGAAAGTTTGATGGACTCAAGAATCCTACCAACCCAGTAAGTTGTGAACATTTTTTTGGTTTGTTTATCATAAATACTAATGTTGACTTGATGGATAAAGTTTCCAGATAAATCAATCGCAACATTAGTACAACAAGTTCGACAAAAGATTTTATCTATCTTGAATGATCTTCCTAAACCCGATAATCGATCACAACACCCCCCTGAAATATTAGTCCTTCTTTCAAATCCGTATCGTACATTCCCATTTTCTCTTAATGATCAAAACCAAGTTAATTTCATAAGCTGATCAAGTTATTGAACGATTTTAATTTAATTTGAAACAGTTGATTTGATAGTTTCATTAACAGCCTTTACGTTACCATACCATACTCTTCATATCCAAATCCCATTATCTTCAACTACGATTCCTGCACATATTCAACAAGCTTCTGGTGGTCAACTTTCTCAACTTAAACTAGTGATTTGTGATCATCAACTCGAAAGTGCAGTTAAGGAATTTGTGACCAGATCTGATCTTCATCATCCTAAGATCATCAACATTAATGATTTATTAAACCATTTGAGCTCAACTGATTTACATGAACAAAACGAAACTAAATTACAAAGCGGACTGTTTACTTTTCTTTCTAGTGAAAGAGATGGAGCTTCACGTTTGATTAGTTTTGAACAGGACGGATTACTTGCAGGATTGACGGCTTCATTAGGATTACTTCCGAAGTCTAAGAGCGTTGGAGCTGAGGATCGGGTTGCAATACAGATTCAAGAAAATTCGGTATATGGATTTCAAAGCTCATTTGCTATTGCTTCACTTTATGGAGGTCAGTGTTTTCTTGATCAGATTTGACTTGGTAGGTTCTCATCTGATGAGATGTTGGTTTTGATTATATAGGTGCCAAGATATGTTTTTTTAATAAGATTGAAGAACTAAGTGATTGGCATCCAACGGTACTTGTTTGGTAAACAAAACTCACATCAAGATTTTATTCATAAATCGTCTTGCTTCGTGGATTACACTAATTTGAAATTCATGATTGTTTGGTTCAACACAGTCAAGCAGATTTACTTGAAACGTTGGCCAATGAAATCCGAACACTTTCATCCAAGAGTTTAAGACTCAAGCTAGGCATCGGTCAAAGATTGTCTTATCTTTCTAGAGGGATTTTAATTGAAGGAGTTAAAGATAAAGAATTATGGATTGGAGAAAAGCTTCGTTCGATTTTAACTTCTGGTAAGATCCTTCAGTAGATCTCCCACCAAGATTTCTGTTTTGATTGATCCATTTCTATTCTTAGGTCCAATTACTCAAACAACAGCTAACGTTGTTAGAGCTGCACTAGGAGTTCAAGTTCAGCAAGTCTATGCGCATCCATTGGTTGCAGGACCGGTTCTTGCTACTATGTTCACTGACTTTCAATCACTTGGTTTAAGTCAAGAAGATCTTCATTATGGACCACCCACTACTAATGTAGAATGTAAACTAGTCGATGTACCTGAACCAGCGATCATCAATAACGATGCAGTTAAAGGACAAGTAAGCAGTTTTGATTGATTTTGATCATGAAGATATTGACAATGGATTGTTTGTTTCTTTTAGTTGGCTGTTAGAGGTCCTACGGTAGCTGTTCAGATTAAAGATCCAAAGACTGGAGAGGTTGTAGAAGATCAATTGATTAGTGAAAAGTTTTTAAGACTTGATCAAGATGCTCAGTTACTTAGTAATGGGACTGTTAAGGTTTTTTTGTCGAATGGATTGGTTTATGATTCATGAGGATCATGGTGTAGATATATTATGAATATGGAAAGATGAAATCAAACAGGGAAGAAGAAAATTGGATGCAGAGTGTTTGATAGATTTTGATTTTTGATCCTTTTTCTTGAAGGTTTGGAAGGTTTGTTAGGTTTACCAGTTTTATATTGTCATGTAGTTGTCATACCTCAGTTGGAATTCATCAAATGATATAGTACAAAATTCGTGTTTGTGATCTTATACTCGTCGACTTGATCAGACACTATGACTTGAGTCCAAATCAATTATCATACATACAGCAGACTTGGCAGGAAACAGTTCCAAACTTTTAGGGGTACAACGGTAGTACGAGGTTTTGAGTTATAAGATTTAGGTACCAATCATGTGCTGCCTGTGTTGAAATTGATGAGAAAAGGGATTTGAAGTGATTGATATGGATTCCTAACCTGGATACATATAACATTTGTAGGAATTTCTAAATGATGTTGTGGAAACCATTAAACAGGACAGCTATATTTGATCTGAAAGTCTGGGATATAAAGACCAAGTGTATCAAGAATACAAACAACACATTTTGGATTCTGTGCTTCGGCTTAGTTGGTTGGTAAATTATTAATGTTGGTTTAATTTAGGTGGAACTTCGGTCTTGCATTAAGACTTTGAGTCTGATCATCTTTAAAGAAACTGTACATCCGATAAAGCACAGTGGAATGGGTACAATATATGTTTCATATTCTGAAGATTATGGATAGTGCTTGGGTCAGAATGTTTTACTTGTTATGTATATGTTTGTTGATGGGATTTCCTACCGAAGATATTCATGTTGAAGACATGATCCAGTGGATTGCCCAGGCCTTATCCAGAGAAATCTGTCTGTGCGTAGCTGTGCGATGATGTGATATCATGGTGATCAAAACCAACAAAACAAAATATTTCTGGATTAAATGTGCCTTGAAGTGATTAGATATAAGATTATCAATTCATACTCATAGGAGGTTTATGGGGTTTGATGCTGGGTGCTCAACGCAATCACAGGGTTTTTTTGTAACGCCCTCTACAAATTATCATGTTTGGTGCTATGGAAAGGCTTAATGTAAAGCAGCAATCTGTATGAGGAAACGAGATGATGTTGGGGAACAAGATAACAAAAGCAGTCACTGTCTTTGAGTCGGCTTATGAGAGTGAAAGCCTAGGCGGCAAGAAGCGAGGTAATGGTGGCACAGTGACTGCAAGTCGAATTCAAACAAAAAACTGACTACAAAACACAATGGTTACAAAGATGTTGTATTGCAAGTCGTCAAGACAAGCGAAATGAAAATTCATTTGAATGAAAACTAAAAAAAAGAATTGTAAACTGCTTCACAGAGCCCAAACTTGAAAATTCAAATAGAAGAGAACAATAATTTATCAAGATAAAGCTTAGTCCTCTTCGATCGACTTCTATGCGACCCATGTGAATCAGAAGCAGCATAAAGCCACTAGGTGAAATAAAATAAGACGAGAAGAGAAGAGAAATAAAATATGCGAAGCTAAAGTGAGATTGGGAAGAATGTCGAGATAAAAGATTGATGAGTAAAGAATTTGATTATGTTCAAAGTGAAAAGGTAAGAAAAAAAAACGAAGGTGAATGGGTTTGAAAGACAAAAAGCGAGTGGAAGGATTGATTTTAGATCTCGTCATAAGCTTTCTGAACCAATTCAGGAACTGTGCTCGGATGCTTGACACCTTGAAAGTCGATGCCACATAGAACATTACGCTTTCCTAGCCTCATGTCGTTCATTTCAGCAGGAGACACGTTGAGAGTGGTATAGCTGGCACGCTGCAGAGCAATGAAGACTATCAATAAACTGTCAATGTAATTGCAAAAGTTGACCACTTACTTTGGTATGATTCCGCTTCTCCTTACATCCTTCACCACGCTCGCTGTGTTTGGCCCCCTTATCTTGATGGTGATGCTCTTTCCACTTCTTGTCAGCCAATTTCTTAGCTCTCTGCTTTGCCTCCCACTCCTTCTTTTTCTTCTTCTCCTCGTAGTGTTGTTTCTTTTTCTCCATGGCCGCCTTCTTCTTTCTCTCCTTCTCGGCCAAATGTGAGTGTGAGCTTGGATGGTGATGCGAAGCACTCGACTTGTGTTTTTGGTAACGATTTTGCGATGATGTGGGTGGTGGTGGGTCTGCGGGTGAGCCTACGTAAGATTCTGAGTGGACGGGTTTGGGTTTAACATGCGCTACACCGGTCGCGACAGGACCTCCAGCGTAAGGCTCAATACTCGATTGTGCCTTGGGTACATCAACACCGGAGTCCTATCGCCAGAAGAACATATGTTGTGAGGGACTTGTACCAAAAGACAAGAATGGATTTGATCTGGGAAAGAAGTGTACATTATGCCAAATCGCATCAGCAACGCGAGCAGCTTCCTTGACGCAATGGTCAAGTCTCGCTGAGGTGATCTGATCGGAAGGCCAGGACGCTAGGTTACACAGATCGGTAGCCACAGCAAGACTATGAAGTCAAAAGATTGACAGTCAGTTGTCTGGTGTTCACCGAATGCCCAGTGATCGTGGCAAAAAGTGACTCACGTAGGGGCATATTCGGTACAACAGGTACCGCGACTCCAGCATTTCGCGATCGCGGCGTAGCCTTTACAATAACATGCAGCCTTTTCTTGTAGATCCGAGATAGCTTCGCACTTTGTAGGCATAGGCCTGTCATTGTGAATGTTCGTGAGTGAGGGGCAAAAAGGCTATAAGATGGGTGAAAATACTCACGTTGCCTGATCCCAGCAATCCCGAAGATCACTACCCTTGCACATCCAACAGCCTGAGCAAATATTATCGCCCGGGCAACATCTTCCCCCTGCACTGATGCTGTGAGCCAGACTCAGAACAACGGATACGATGATCGCTGTTCGAACGAGAGAAGGCATGACTTGAGTAATAAACCGAGCAGCAAAGGTAGAGGAGATGATCAGGTTAGTTAGACATTACGGTATGTAGTAGATGAAGAAATGTAGTGAGTCATAGGAGACATTTCAAACTCACTGGATATCGTTAGTGATTGTGAATTTCTGAAGAGAAAAGCGTTACGATGACAGCAAAACAAAAGGAAAAAGTGAAACCAGCGGCCAGGAGTTGGTGTCCCAGGTAGGAATAAGTTTCAAGGGCCAAGCACGGAGTGTTGTTAAATGAATGGACGAAGCACCACGGTTCAAGATCAGACGGGAAGGGCAATTAGCTGTCATCTAAATTTGCGGACGCCTTGATTGTCCATGCAGGAGGCTTTGTTTGTTTGGTCATACCTGATGTCAATGATATGTTTGGATTTCTTTTTTTTGGGCGTAGGGCGAGGTGGTGGAGGGAATGGAATGGAAGTTGGACGAGGACACAGCAAAGAAATGAATGGATAAGCGGGTGTACGCCGTCCGAAGTACTGTAGGAGTAGTAGGAGTAACGAAAGTAGGCTTGCAAAAGCAAGATTTTGTGTACAACCGTCAGTTGAGATGAGTTGGAAGAAAAAGAACGAAAGGGGAAGAAGCGGGCGGAAGGCGACATATATATTACCTACCGCTGTACAGGTGGTAAGATTGAAACATTTGTACCGAATCATACAACTTTCTCAACACCCTCTGACTCCTCTGACAAATCGGTGGACAAATCGTAGATATTAAAGTCGTGATAGTCGTACTACTTTGTAAATTTCAAATCATGTCACTGTGATAAACTACAAGCTCCCTCGATGAACTCAACAAACTCCCTCGCTAGGCACTTTGTCGAGACACTCGAGGAACTTTGTAGAGTTCATCACGGTGAGAAATGAGTGAGGACCCTGAAAAGCTCCAGTGGAGGTTCCTAATGGAAACCTGACCATTTTTCGGACCCAAGCGGGAAGCTGAGAAATTTCGGGTCAAAACTTGACCATTTTCATAAGGTACCTCAAAAAACAAATCAAAAAATGACGGGCACTGGCTTTTGATCGAAGAGTAGCTTGGATAAAGCATAGTTGGGACTTCGTTAAGTTCATTCAATTTGAGTCAACAGGATCGGTTCTTTGAGCCGCATTTAATTTCAAGACTTTGCCTTTGTACCAACTGATCAAGTGTTTAAAATCAGAGCCTCACGACTCTCACAACATCTCTCTGATAGCCATCCCAGACCGGCTTCCGTCCCGACGGAGACAGGTCGGAAGAGACAAATCAGCTTCAGCCTGACTATCATCATCCTGAATGAAGATGCAGATATAGATAGCATGCCTCCATTACAGTCAACCGAGCCAGGGATGAGCACGGCATAGTTGCGCATTTGCCCCACATGCAAAGCAGCTCGCAAATCCAACTTTTAACCTTTGGGCACTATTCAGCGCACAAAGGCCACCGCCCTCCCCCAACTCAACTTCGAATTCCGTGATAGTCCGTGATGCAAAATGTACTTATGTACAACAAAGATGCCTCATAGTTGGCGCTTCAGTTGCTTAATCACTGCAGTATCGCACTGCGTGATCAACATTCCTCGCTCTTGTCGGAAGTGAGACTAGTTCCTCACGCTTTGCTGCTTCATTGGAGCTTTTTATCTACGCGTCATTGGAAAGAGGGATTCCACAGCTTCCTTGAGATCGCGACTCTTTCAACGTATTTGCGGTATGTATAGGAAAAATACTCCACAAACAATTCAGGCCAATTCCCATGAAGAGATTGAGAATTTTCGTTGTTTGGGCCCGCTGATCACGAGCGCGCACCAGGAGAATAGCTGCGAGATGGCACTGAATCTCTGAAAGGGATGGAGCGCCGGCGCCGGTGACAAAAAGCCAATCTGTTTCCGGCGCGAGAGTGCATGTCGGGGACTGAAAGTTTGACCGCGGGTGCTCATTGTGACTTTTGGAAAGGTTCCTTTGGGTACACTTTCGTGTTCCAAGACACATTCTCCCTTGAAGATCAAACTTACCTTGACTACTCGCGAGGCGAGAGGGAGGGACGTTGATGAGGTTTACCTATAACCTGAACAGGGAGCCGTCAATGGCGGCCTTCGCGTTACAACTCACAGATCGTCCATGGCGAACCCGGTAAACACATATTCCTGCTGGGGTAGAGAAGATGACAAGCATAGCCGGTCTCGGAGGAGGGACCTGGTCAAGTGAGAAGCATAGCAGGAAATCGCACGACGCTGTCATCCACTGAAAGTGACCTCAGATAATCCCTTAAGACTCCTGATGGGCAAAGACTCAGGAGTCAGCGAGCTTTCTAAGGCATCGCCGCGGGAGTCGGGGTGGTCTTCAATTACTATGCCCAAGCCTTGATCTCGCGAACCGGCCTTTACTGGCCTATCTCTGATCTCTTGCGTTCTCTGAGATTTTCAGCAGTTCCTGTTCACTCCCTTGTATTGTAAAAGTCTGAAATCCGACAATAGATCTGGCGAATTTTCACATCAGCAATCAAGAGCTTCTAGATGAGAACAAAAAGGTTGGTTCGAGTGTAAAGATGACAAGCAAGCATTTAGACCCATCTAGATATCAAAAGAAAAGCATAGCTTATACCTGCTTATATATTATCAAAGCTCAGAACCCAGACCTCACTGAAATCACTGACCCAAAAATTTCTATCCACTCTTGTCGAGTTTTCTCCCTCAGAACACGAGGACAGTTAAATGTACGCTTCGTGATCAGTAATTTGGGGTGCTAAGCTCTAACAGTGAGCGATGTGTCTCTCAATAGATTGAAAGGAATTCCACATTGTTTTGAAATAGCATGACCTCAGGCTTTCATTAGTCAGAGAAAGTAGTTTAATACCCATTAAAGTATATTTCTCTCTCTCCGCAGGCTCCGAGGGACGCCGTGAGAGGGACTTTGTTAAGTTAAATTTCTCTCGTACAATCTGTCTTGACTCTTGAGTTGAAGAGATAGAAGTAGCCTGAGTAATTATAAAACTCATTTCTACTGATTACTTCAAGGTAAGACGCTTCTTAGAATGAACCTCAGCATTTACAATGATACTACCATGCAACCTGTGAAGGATGTGAATGATGTGGGAAATCAGAATTTACACCATGGGTAGTCGAAGCCTGTTCTTGGTTTGTTTTCGTAGAAGATCCAAGGACATGATCATTTTCAAGTTTAGTCATCAACGATGGATGTGAATTGTGTAAGAGCCCATGTAAGATGAGACCTTTTAGCACGGGGTCTGTCATAGAGTCAATCATGGGCAAAAGTAATCGAGGTACAGATGAATCTAGAGTGCGAGTTGAAATAGAATGGCTCGCACGGAGGGAAATTGCGCTACGGGAAAATATAGGGTGTCGGCTGTGGACGATGTTGTGACCTACATACGAATTTCCGTCCGTCACGGTTCACGGCACTCGCCTGAGGATGCTTTGAGAGGAGAAAATGATAGGAATTGTAGCTTAGAAGAATGATGGGTTGCAACTCTGAAAACCCAGACGTCATCACAGAGAATTCCCAAGTCGTTAGACTCAGAGCCTGAGGAAAGTTCTACCATCCAATTCCTTGGTGCGGTAAGGATGCTTTGTGTTGTAAATTTTCTATAGGATGCTCCAAACCCAGGCTGTAACTTAGAATCAGGGATGTCCTGTTGGTTTTGATGATCGCTTCACTCGTGGAGGCATTTGAGGTGTTGTTTGGAGAGTAGAGTGAGCTTAAGCACAGAGCGACCATCTTGAGCAACTCTTGGTGGCATTTCCACATTACGAGGGTCTAGAACAGTAAAATTATATTCTGGGAAGCTACCCGAAAAGGAGCCCCACGATCTGGAAATTATGTGAAAAATTTATAATTTTCAATATGAGAATACATACAATGAAGTTTAAGCGGATGCTGTGAAGCCGAAGAAATAAGGATTAAACAGCGAAAGCGACGTGAACTGCCTTATTGGCATCATGAGAAATCGTTGATAGTCCGTCAATTCCATTATAAAATTTGCAAGACAGCCCATTTCAACTGGGGCATAAATCACAGCTGTGTGTATGAACGGTGAAGAGACGACAAGGAGATATGAATTTAGATAGATAGATGATGGGCAATGGTTCAAGCGATTGATGACAATATGACAAGAAAGGTTACAATGGCTCCTTTCCGAAAAACAAAAAAGGGCACGCGTCGGGTTTTGTACAATGATGCATTATGGTGTTGCATTGAGTCGCACAATGTCGGTTTAATCAGGCGATAGCGGCAACGTAGTGAGTTATTTATCGAAAGTTTAACTTGAGTAAGAACTGAGATGTCCAAGTCAGTTGCAAACATTAGTGGCTTTGTTCGTGTTCAGATCACGCACGCTGGAAAACATTGAGGACATACCAACAACATGTCACACAACACATGAATAGAGGTGATGATACATGCAGGTACCAATTCGGGATAGTTCCTGAACTCGCTCAGGCCGACCTTTTGAGAAAACTTGAATTAACATGTGTAGAGTAGAAACACTCTTCAAGTCCAGCTGGCAACTCACATCAGTAACGTGGACTTTGTGGATCAGCCAACATAAACCACGAGCCAAGAAACTCGAAACAAGTTCAATGGTCCAAATACACAGGCTGGCCGTGATAGTGAGGCGATATGTATAGGGGTCGTTCTCGTCTGGGTTGTCAAACCTGAAAAAAGGGTAGACGTTCGAGTTGGGACCAAAATGAAGGATAGTCAACCACCCCAAAAAGGATAGCATTGTCACATTCTCGGCCAAGTTGCGGATGTACAAAGCTGGTTGGTATCATGTCAGTCAGTGATAGTTCAAACATATCAAGGGTTCATATCAATAGTGAAAGACGCGTGACAAACCATGAGCCACGGTCTCCAAATGATCAGCATACGACTTTCCATAACTGAAAAATAGAGTCAAGATTCTATAAAAGAATCTAGACATTGAGATGGGATAATAAATCAAGATCCAACTAGAACTCAAGATCTGCACTGTGAGATATTGGCTTGGGTCCTTGAGGCGGGCAAAGAGATTGCGGTAGAAGATAAAGTATGTTCTAGTCCTCCTCCAAGATATGAGTCAGAAACAAATACGATTGGAGCTCTGCTTCTGATCGACAATGTGGCTCAGAACTCACAGGATGAAGTAGTATTTGAAGACGAATAATAGCGCCTTACTACGGATTTTGAACTCCAAGATCCAACAACTAATTCCATTCAAAATCTGGAGAGTGATTGTCCAGCTCCAGACATAATAAAGACCGTCCAACGAGCTATGAGGTAAGGTTGAGAGATAGATCGATGCAAAGCCCTGGCCGATGATTAGTGAGACAATGGCGATGACCAAGCAGGAAAGGAACCAGAGAAAACGGATGTAGGAGTAAGGTATCCGTCGACCCAAGACGTGTTCCAAAAATCTGAAGAAGATAAACCGTGCAAGGAGAGTTTGTATGTCAGGTGGGATATGGTTTACATGATCACAATAGCAGAGTAGGTAGGGTGAAGAGCCAACCAGTCAAATTTACGTTTTCTGGGTTTCTGTCATGCTTCGACGATAAAACCCACGCCGATCACCCTTCAACTTCAAAAAGCAAGCAAAGATTGGCATCATCATCCCGAAGAACTCTAATACCACCCAGCCCGTCTTACGCTCCCAATCATAATTCCACTCTTTTCCCTTCCCAGCTTGGTAACCATTGATGAAGTTGAATTGATGAAGACCGACTCCTAGCCCAATGATACCAGCCCACGTAAGAATGTAGGTGAACGTAGCTCCCAGCTTTTTTGGCCACCAGTTCAGGCGATATAGGTCGAAAAGCTTGGTGATAAACATCAAGCCGATGAATAAGTAGAAGCCAAAATAGAAAAGCACAAAAAAGTAGAAGTTGTAGTCCGGGGGCAACGGCGGTTTGAAGTTGAGACGTTGATCAAATGGCGTACTCGGATGGACCAGCGCGTCCGAAGGCCATTTCCATCTGGGAGATTTCTCATCAATATCGTACGGATCGAGGACTGGAAAGGGTAGCATGCACCAAACCCACACCTAAGGAGCATTGGTCAAACAAAGGAGGGTTCCTCAGAAGGGGTTTCCAGTGATGAAAGTTTCTGGGCTTGGAGAAGCACCTACGACTGCGCAAGGAAGAAGGACGAGGATCGCAGAGCGTCGCGGCCAGGTGGAAAGCCAGTACAAAACGTGTTCTTTAGATGGTCGTAAAAAGCTTTCAGGTCCACTGACTGCTTGAGAATTGGCGATACTAGTTTGTGATGGCTTTCGAAGAATCTGAACAGGCATAGGAGATGATGGTGAGGACCTGGCTAAGTTAGCCCAAACAACGGAACGAGTAGGGCGGATGGATGAAGGTTTATTGTGTGAGTTCGTATGCGTTGAATGGGCGTGAGGCGTTTGTTGAACATGTGCTCGATATCTCCCCGGCCTGATACTGGACTCTTCATCTACATGAAACACATTGAACATAAGCTTAATGAGAAGACCACATTGGAGATGAGTCAAGATGCAAGGATATACGTTCTGAACCAATTCTATCTTTCCCTTGCTGGAATGATTGAAACATGACGAAGTGAGGCCTAGAAAGATTTGAGCTTGAGATTGTTGAGATTAGCAAGGATCTGATGATTTGTTTGATCTTGAGGCGGATGGGGTCAACAGTCAACCCTCATGATGCTGTTCTTGAGCGGTTGACCGTGCTGCGATATTTGGGAATGTTTGTCAAATCGATCATCGATTCAAGAGAGTGATGCCAGGCAGTCTGGTCCGGCACTGACCCTCGGTACAGAGAGAATCCCCGCCCCGTGTGGAGTGGGGCATCAGCCAGCCTCAGGGCTCGGGAATAGGTACCAAACCGGCCACAATCGACCATGATCAGAGCAAAACCTTTTGAATGGACAAACAGGGACAAACATGTCCTCTCAACACCCAGTACATTTGAGGCAGCAATCAACTCTTGCAACTCCACTGAATAAAAATCCCTGGACCCCATACTTCACCGCCTTATCTCATGTTTTCCCTCTATCTCACATGTATACTTATGGCATGTTCAAATTGCTTGAGTGAACATGCCATTAGATGAAACAGCCAACACCTATCTTTCCCCTGACACAGCCAGAGGGTTTTTACCGGTGCTAGAACATATATGCAGTGTTCCAACAACTGAAAAAACACTTCAAGCAATGCAAAAAAATGGGCAGAGCATATACACAACAGACTTTTCAAATGTTCAATTTGGAGGTGGAATTGTCGATTTTTGTCCCAGCGGACTTGTCAAAAAATGAAGTTTTGAATTTTTGACTTCTCAAATTCTTGAGCTTGACCTTCAAATTTGAAGGTTGGATCCAAGAATTTGAAAAGTCTAAAAATCATGTGCCATGCTGCATGTGACAAATTGTTGTAGATTCCTCTGCCAGTTTGACTCTATTCCCCTTCCACAGCAGTTGATTGGTTTGATCTCATCAAAAACAAGCTCTCAAAGACCTCATTTGAAGTTCAAAACTCTTGTTTATTAAAGTGGGTCAACATAGGACCAATGTAGGATTGATCACAATTGACAAAACCCACATTGGGTTATCTTCATTTCTCCAAACCAACCAAGCTTGTTTTGACAGGTTCTGGGGGCAACACACAAGCACATAAAAACACAATGAAATAAGGGGCCTGTACTGCATTCCAGATGAGTGCAATGTATGTTGTGTTCACCATGTCCGTGTGGTCTTTGCTTGTTGACAAGCACACACGAGTTGCCTTTGTGCCCCAAAGGCAGTCCGTGTGCGCTTGTTGTCAGGCGACTGCCACAAGGACACAGTGGTTGTGTTGCTTGTGCAATGGCCCAAAGACCCTAGGCCAATCTGTTATGTTTGGCTGCAACAAACCAAAACACAATTTGAACACATCTGATTGGGCTAATGGAGGATTTCAGGTTTGTTTGTTTTTTGCATATTTTTTTAAAATTCAGGCAAGTTTTTTGTAAAAAGAAACTGTAAAAGCAATGAATTTCCAATTTGGGACACCTAAAAAGGTGTCCTGCTTTGAAAAATCTATCCATATTTTACAAAAATGGACAAGTTGTTGTAGTGTAAACATACATAAAAAAAGGCTAACTTGAAACTCCCTGTTATATTTTTTAAAGCAGGACACCTAAAGAGGTGTCCCAGATTGAAATATATATGTTTAACACAGTTTCTTTACAAAAACTTGCCCAAATTTTGAAAAAATATGCAAAAAACAAACAAACTTGAAACCCCCTCATGGCAGAAAACCACCTGCTTACATTGGTTTTTGACTTACTGCTTGTGGCAACACTGCCACTATACTATACAGTATTGTGATACTGTAGTATAGTACTGAGTTTTCACTACTATACTTTGAAAGTATAGTATTGGACTACCTTTTTATAT